GTACTGTATTAGTTGGATGTGTTGATATTGGCTTCCACTAATAATCCCACTACTTACCTATAATTAGATGTGGGTTACAGGGACATGTCACATGCTTATTAAGTGTGCTGCAAAATATATATATATACTGTGATGCCCATTCATTATATATAATATCTTCCATTGTATATATAAACGAGTACCTGGTAGTATTTGACATGTCCCTATAGACTTAAGGTTATGGAATTATGCACTATAGAAATATTCAAATTTCAAATATTTCATATCAATATGGATTGAGTGTCGGTGCTATATATTTAAAAAAAAAACTGTTCAAAACAGTTGATTCTCAAACAGAATTTGTTCTGTATCAAAAAAAAAAATGTTTTTGGGCTGAAATATCTATCCTAGATGTTATTATTAAAAAGAGTTATACAATACTTATCCACAAGTTTTTGAGTCTTGAACCCAAATGTTAAGCACATGTATCAGTAAACTGAATATTTCTCTTGGAATCTGCTTCAAACTTTGGGGGAAAAGTCCTATTTGTACCATATGCTCCCCTGAGTGATAAAATTAATTTGGAAAAGGAACTGAAATACAAGACATTCTTCATTTTTGAAATTATATCTAAGTTCCCTAAGTTTATGATCTAGTGCCAGTCACTTTTCATAAATAAAGATGATGAGATTAATTTAATATAATAAAATAACCTTGCTATAGTGATATGTACACATATATAGTATAAATATATTTTATTATGAATTTTTTCTTGGACTTAAAATTAACCTAGAGAGGTCAAGTTAGATCAAATGTAAAAATAAGCAGTTAATGTCCTGGGTATAATAAATTGTATTTCATTATAAATATTCTTCGTGTATTTTAGATTTGCTTATATCTGGTAGATTGCAAGATTCTATACCACCAGGTCTAAATTAACATATAGGACAGTCTTTGAAAAATGGGACAAAATCTAAACAAGCTACTTGGGGTGGGCGACTCACTGAGGGTAGGTTAACTAATTTGATTGGTTTGGAAGAACACTGAACAGATGTACATGTCCTTTACCTGTTAACTCACAAAATACATGAACACAAACTTTAAACCATGAATTTATAACACAGGAAAATCAGCAGAAATCAATAAATTTTGCTTACAACAAAGAAGACAAGTGATGTGAATGATAAATGTTGAATCAACTAACTCAGCTTAGCTTTCTGACATCAACTATAAGACAAGACCTCATTAATAATATAAACCAAACCCCTCCCCCCTCCCCAAATCAAACCAAACTAGAATTCTTCAACGAGGCTGTGTACGAAAAATAACATAAATCAAGATGAATTTTAAAATCTCACTTTATATTTGAGTATGTGGTGACTGATTATGACAATATTTCTGCGCTCTTACCGAGTTTGGCATCATTACACCTTCACAATATAAATCCTCAGCAAACTACTTTCATTTGTCTCATTCTGGTTGAAAATGACGTACAACAGATTAATAAATGACAGTGATTCTCACTAATAAGAACTATATCTAAACCTTTGGATTTTAGGCCAACGAAACTAAATTGTCATTTGAATAAATAAACATGTAGCAACTTCACAGACATTTTCTAAGTTCTCAATGGCTCTTTAGAACACTCGAGTTTCTTTCGGAAAAGTTTATAACTCTGGATTATTCCAGCCATTTTAGAATATATTAATGTGTGATTCCTAACACTAATATTTTAAAATGTATGCGTAAATATAATAATTAATATTTGAATATATCAACTAAAATTCTATATTGGTGTTAGTTATACTTCCTGTTGAAAAATAAGCTAGTTTTACACAGCTCCCGTTTATCGGACTCGTGATCTAAGTACAACGGGAGCAGTCATTTTCAAACATTTCTTCTTTGTCGGTCTCGCGAGAGTCTCGTTCTTTATAAGATATCTCATAAACTTTTCTTTATAAGATATCTTATATCTTTTATGAGATATCTTATATAATATATAAGATATCTTATAAAGAAAATTAATTGAGATATCTTATAAAAGATATAAGATATCTTATATATTATATAAGATATCTTATAAAAGATATAAGATATCTTATAAAGAAAAGTTTATGAGATATCTTATATCTTTTATAAGATATCTTATATCTTTTACAAGATATCTTATAAAGTATATAAGATATCTTATAAAAGATATAAGATATCTCATAAACTTAAAATAAGATATCTTATATGTTTATAAGATATCTCATATGTTTATAAGATATCTTATATGTTTATAAGATATCTCATATGTTTATAAGATATCTTATATAATATATAAGATATCTTATATAATATATGAGATATCTTATATAATTTGGTTAAGTACTGGATCAACATTGCTCCATGAATAAATGACAACTTGGCTTGCCATATTCAGGAGTTACGTTCACTTTCGCTCTCTGCATCCCTGAAATATGTCGTAGCAAAAATGATGAGACAAGAAGACTAGTTCGCTCCTTTGATGTACATCAAATGAATCTCGCGGTCACGTAACGGTAAAAATTGACAGGCTTTAAAGTCGGGCGTCTCTCCTTTGTAATCTTCAAAGGACAAGTAACGGCCAAGCGATTGGTCAGTTTTTTTCACCTAAGACCAATCAAACAGCTATCTTCGTGCCTTCAATTTTGCTATGACATATTCCAGGGGTGTAGAGAGCGGAAGTAAGCGTAACCCCTGGATACTGAGAATGCGTTACTCCGGGAGTTACGCTCATTTTCGCTCTCTGCCTCGTAGCAAAAATGATGAGACAAGAGTCTAGTTCGATCCTTTGATGTACATCATAAGCCATGTCGCGGTCGCGTAACGGTAAAAATTGACTGACTTTGAAATCGGGTGTTGCTCCTTTGTCATCTTCAATGGACAGGTGTCAGCCTAGCGATTGGTCAGGTTTTCTTACCTGAGACCAATCAAATAGATGTCTGTGTGCCTTCAATTTTGCTATGACATATTCCATGACATCCTCTATACTCAAGAGGTTACGCTCACTTTCGCTCCCAACCCCACCCCTGCAGGTGGGGGATCGGGAATACACCTGCTGTTACCCACTGCACGTATCGTAGGAGGCGACTAATGTGCGAACCCCCTGCAGAATCGGGGATTTTCTTTGGTGTCCTCTATATGGGGACACAAAAGCGAACAAAATAAATCTGCTGAGCCCATTGCAATATTTGGAATCTTTATTTTTCTTTCTACACCTAGCTACCTTTTCCCCTTAGGGACACCACACTTTTGGTTGGAATGTTGAGCGTTCGCCCAGGTGAGGAAGGCAATGGGTTCTGTCCCCAGGCCGGGACATACCAGCGTCTTTAAAAATGGTAGTTGCTATTCCCTGCTTAACGTTAAGCATTAAGGGAAATGATAACTACTGGTTCACCCGTTGTCAGTATAATGTGACCAGGCGGAATGCTGTGTTTGGTGCTTTCGGCATGGCATTTCTGTGAGATAGCACTATAAAGTCGGTATCAGACCCGCTCCATCACAAGGAGGCTAGCACATCAACATACCCTGTCTCCTGCATACACACACGCAAGCACGCATAAACTAAACACACGGAGGCACGTCCTTAAATGACCTTAGCTGTTAATAGGACGTAAAACAAAATTAAACTAAACTAAATCTCTGCACCCCTGGAATATGTCATAGCAAAATTGAAGGCACGCAAATAGCTGTTTGATTGGTCTCAGGTAAAAATAACTGACTAATCGCTAGGATGATACCTGTCCTTTGACTAATCGTTAGGCTGACACCTGTCCTTTGACTAATCGCTAGGCTGACACCTGTCCTTTGACTAATCGCTAGGCTGACACCTGTCCTTTGACTAATCGCTAGGCTGACACTTGTCCTTTGACTAATCGCTAGGCTGATACCTGTCCTTTGACTGATCGATAGGCTGATACCTGTCCTTTGACTAATCGCTAGGCTGACACCTGTCCTTTGACTAATCGCTAGGCTGATACCTGTCCTTTGAAGATTATAGAGGAGCCACACCCGATTTCATAGTCAGTCAAATTTTACCGTTACGCGACCGCGAGATTCTTTCGATGTACATCAAAGAATCGAACTAGTCTTCTCGTCTTATCTTCAAGGTGCTGCACACTGAGCCTTCGATTTTGCTATGGCATATTCCAGGGGTGCAGAGAGCGAAAGTGAGCGGAACCCTTAGAGTATCGAGGATGATTCCTGGGGTGCAGAGAGCGAAAGTGAGCGTAACCCCTTTATTATCGAGGATGCCGCCGCAGCTGCTTCACCATATATGTTAATGAAGTATGATTAGAATGATTTGCCATGATGGTTTTACATGTTCATACATACAGATGTAGTCTTCATTGTTCCTTTGTGGAATAAATCACGAATTTATTTTTAAATCAAGGGTTTTCCAGTTTAACATTGCCTCTGCATGTACATTCAATATACGCTACATACGACATTAGGTGTTCGGGTGGCGCAATGGATAGCGCACTTGTCTTTCACCAAGGCGGCCGGGGTTTGATTCCCCGATCGGGGTATGGGGGTCACCTGCCCAACCACGTGGTGTTTCGCCGGGTACTCCGGCTTCCTCCCACATTAAGACCCCCGCGCGCTAATATCTGGGCTAACCAGAGTTTTCAATATAAGTTGAAATAACTTGTCTGATAATTGTTGTAAAATAAATAAAGTTTATACATACAACATACTTATGATGTAAATAGTGGTTTTTTTTTAAATAAAACTACTTAACCTACATGTACGAACGAGAAATACGACAACGACCTAGAGAAATGACGTCTGGACAAGTTTGCTTGTTTTAAGCTATCAAACAGATATTATATTATGTAAAAAAATCTGAGGAAAGTCAATAATTATTGACCTTATAACGTTTTGTTTTCATTGTTCCAAAATTTAAATACAGTACGTACATGCTCTCACATGCAGACATGAAAGCGGAACCCGGAAAAATCCGGATTTCATAAGTTCGATTTAACATTTAGTGTGCTATACTCACTTCCGGTTAAATGGCGAGGCCCAGTCGGTCAGAATGTGAAACCTAAAGATTTATACTAAGATATCAGATATAGAGGTAATTCGTTGTAAAATATATCAAATATGCTTAAGTACACACTTATTATCACAACAGATAATTCTAGACAAAGCAACAAGACGATTTCTTGTGCAATTTTGCCTATCTAATGTGATCAATGTTTACATCTTGAAAACTTATCTATTATCATCGTTTGCCTGCTATGCTTTAGTAGCTTTACTATGACTATAACCGCTGTATATATGATTGTGTACGAAAAGGTGATATGTTATAAGTTTGAAGCCTTTAATTGTCACTAAATCATAAAACTATTGTTCAGTTAGAGTCTAAGGAAGAATTCAGAATTCAATCAAGCCATGTTTATTTTTAAGGTACGTGAGATAGTTGCGACCAAATATGAATGTTCACATTGTTTTACAGATATTGTCAGATTTTACTAGGGAGTTAGATCTGCCTAAATAGGTGCCAGTGATCCAGTACCTGTTGACTTCAGATATAGGGTCTATTTGGGTTAAAAAGGGGGTGTCAAATATCACCTCAGCCTCTTAGTATGATAGAAAAGTGTAAGCCATTAGATTCACTGGTTTTATCACTTATGTCATATTTGTTTTAAATCCTTCAAAAGTGTGGTATCCTATTAAACGCTCTTATAAATATAATGTTCATGGTCACATGTACACATTTCCAATGTTGTTGAATGCAGATCTTTATCAAACATCAAATACTTCAAGTACTTCTGACTAATAATTTTGGAATTTAAAAATCAAAACTTGTAAGCAGGGGCTTTTTTTCTGGCTCAGTGCAGGGTTTAGGCAAATGATCAGTATATTTAGGCCTGAAAATGCCAATAAACAGCAGATTTAACAGCAGACACCTGTATGTGTAATATTTCTTAAGTACATATTTTTGTACTTGCAGAATGGAAGGACTGTGAATGAAATCGAAGGAAAAGCTTTCTGTTGGTCCCATTTTGTCCATTTACCCTGCCTGTAGATGGATTTCATTGGTGTTGAGACATAGCGAGGAGTCCTCTGCTATGGAGAAAGGTACTGCTGGTTTGGGGTCAATACCTCTCCCTACGATGGACACCATTCCTTTGCCTGATGGTTCACCAACACCTTCAGCAAAGACAAAGGCAAGGAAGCCCATTAAGTTAGTGAGATATGATGTCAATAAGGCGGAATCACAAATCCCTCTCCCAACTACAAAAAAAGACCCACCAAAGCCAGCCAAAGAGTTGATTGCTGAAAAACTAAATAAGAAATCAAACTCTTCAAATACATTGAAGGAGATAGACAGTAAGTGTTCGTCAAACGGCTCTAATCCAGTCTCCAGTAACCACAGCTTGTCTAAGCTCAAACGTTCCTTAATGCAAAAGGAAAGAAATGTAGAAGGGCCTTTAGAACAGAGTATTGTGGATGAAATGTTTAAAGATTTTTTGGCAACAAAGATGCAACAGATTGAATCTGAGTATCAGGGTAAGGCTGAGGACAGATTGTCGAGGGATGGTCAGGCTGGGGAGGTTGCATCATCCGTTGAGGAAATGAACAGACTTCTGGATGACGAGTTGACGACAATCTCGCAAAATACTTCACAGAAGGATGTCTGTTTACAGGAACAGTGTTCTCAATCAACAGCCAGAGGAAAACATAAATTGGTGGAAGCAAAATTAGAGTCAAAAAGCAAAAGATCAAAATGGGACATGAAAGAGAAACAAGAAAAGGATACATGTAAAAACAAATCAGCCTTTTCTAAACCACAGATCAAAGCAGAAAATGTTGTATGTGTAAAAAGTACCAAATTGTCTAAAGACAAAATTTCAAAGTCTTCATCTGATCAGCAGAGTTGGATCAATATTGAATCCTCTGGAGTCTCCACAAATGTGGAAAGTCTAAAGTCATCCTTGTCATCATCCTCCATGACAAAAGTCCAGGAAATATTAGTATCAGCAACAGAAGGGACACCAACACTGCTGCCTGTCTCAGATACAACGAAGACGGAAGAGGAAAGCAGAAATGTTAAGACAAACATAAACATTGCACTCGCTGCTCAGTTTGGTAAAAAAAATCCAGCAAAGAAACAAATACCTCTGAAAATCAGTCAAGTAAGTGCCGAGTTCATTTCCTCTGGTGAGCAGACTGGAAAAGAAGCTGAAAGAAGAAAGGCCTTAGAAGACGGTATGTATTTGACCTCTGACAGAAAATGTTATTTTACCAAGATGATAGCAGGGCCATCAACATACTGAGAGATATAGGACTCCCGTGTAGAATTATCCCATATGTAATATAATAATGTTTTTTTTTTATGTGGGGTGTGGTTTGTAATGTAATAAGTGAAATTTTGTAAATGTTTTGCAGATGTTGATTTTACATTGACTTTATTCAGGGGAAGTCATATCCTCAAATGAAGATGATTCTGAGAAGCAAGAGTCGAATGATGAGGATAGCGAGGATGACGAGGAAAACAATGCTGTCTCGGAGACAGGGTCACTAAGTAACTCGGACAAAGACACCAAATCCTCCAAATCTAAAAAGAAGAAAAAGAAGAAAAATAAAAAGCACAAGAAGAAGAAAAAACACAAGAGTTCAAAAGACCATGAAAAAGATGATACTAAACGAGACGAATCTAAAAGGAAGCACAGATCACCTTCTAGGTTTGTATCAATGTCGTAGCTGGCCGGTTACTGTATCAATGTAGGTGGTGGGGGATTCAAAATTGTATAAATGGTGGGGCGGGGCAAAAAGGGGGCATTTTGGCTATATTGCTTTAAGCGACTTCTTCTCTAGAACTAAGATATGGATATCAACCATATTTGACTGGAAGCATCCCTAGGTGGTGGAGATTCAAAATTGTACAAATGGTGGGGCTGACCCCCCCAGGGGGCTGAGGGCAGGGCCAAAAGGGGGGAATTTGGCTATATTGCTATAAACGACTTCTTCTGTAGAACTGCCATGGATATCAATCATATTTGGTCAGAAGCATTCATGGGAGGCAGGGATTCAAAATTGTACAAATGGTTGGGCTGACCCCCCGGGCTAAGGGGTGGGGCCAAAAAAAGTTTATGACTTGGAAATGGTTGAGTTCCCAACCATATATACAATTGCTGAGTATAAAAAGAAGAATGCACATTTGCTTCCAGGTTGGCTCTAGGGTCTGGCCCCACCCTTGGGGACATAGTCCCTGGGCCATAACTTTAAAACGGTCGAGATCCCCACCCCAAAACTATGTATACAAATGCTGGGCATAAAGAGACGAATGCAGTCATGATATTAGAATAGACCCTGGGGTCTGACTGAACCCCTTGGGACCTAGTTTCTTAGTCACAGCTTGGAACAGTTGAGATCCCCACTCTATAACCATATATACAATTGCTAAGTGTAAAGAGATTAATGTACATATGCTTCCAGGATGGCCTTGGGGACTGCCCTACCCTTGGGAGACTTAACCCCTTGGTCATAACTTTGAAATGGTTAAGATCCCCACCTCAAAACTAAATATACAATTGTTGGGCAAAAAGAGACGAATGCAGTCATGATATTAGAATTGACCCCAGGGTCTGCCCCACCCTTGCAGACTTAACGCCTGGGTCATAACTTTGAAACGGTTGAGATCCCCATCCCAAAACTATATATACAAATGCTGGGCAAAAAGAGACAAACGCAGTCATGATATTAGAATTGATCCTGGGGTCTGGTCACAACCCTAGGGACCTAGTTTTTGAGTCACAGCTTGGAAACAGTTGAGATCCCCACCCCATAACCATACATAAAATTGCTGGGCATGAAAAATCTAATACAGATATGCTACAAGGATTGGCCTTGGGGTCTGGCATATTCCCTTGGATCTCATTTGGAGAGTATTTTGCCATGATTGCTTAGATATCCAGGTAAGCGATACAGGCCCTCTGGGCCTCTTGTTCATTTTAAATCTTAAGTTGCTTGTTATGATGTAAAGAAATGTCTGCCAAAATATAGGTCAAACAGAACACTCACTTAGATACTAGACAATGTTAACACAGTAGTATGAAGTTTTGCTCAAAAGCTACCACAAGATGTACTTACTGTTGACATGACATTTCAACAGATAAGAGAAATGAACAGAGAAGATAAAACTTCCATAGAACTCCTGGAGATGGTTTAATGGTGGATGACCGGACCCCTGTGAGATCTCTTGTTTATATCTATTTAGTTATTACTGTTTCCTGCTTTAAAGGTCAAGGTCACCAAAGAAACACAAGAGCTCAAGATCTCCCAACAGAAGGAGTCGCAAATCAAGGTCAAGGACACCAAAACGATGGGAAGATCACGGGTTTGATGCATATGCCTACAGGTACATCTCCAAGTCTGATAAAGACTCATAAAGACCCACAGGGAAAATCCTCAAATTTGAGAGCAGTGGGCCATTTTCATCAATTTTAAGTCAATATCCAAATTAAGAGGGGCCATTCTATGTAAAATTAAAAGAAAATTGGAACATTTGGCCAATGGCCCCATGGCCCCCTCCAGGATTATCCCTGGGTCCATCTACAAGTCTGATAATGACTGCAGGCAACCAGCATCCCACACCTCAAAGTCACTGGGCATCCAGGGTTATAGTTTCTCTTTCTGATCAATAACTTACTTTCTATAAACTGATATTCATCCTTGGTTTCCCCATGTACAAAATAATCTAAACAAGTATACAAAAATGTAATTTATTTGTTTTTGTATTGTTAGCATACGTTTAGGTATTTTTGACACACAACAGTTATAAAGATCTACAATTCCTTGTTAATGAGGTATAAATTCTCTTGTTTATTCCTGTGTAAATCAGTCACATACATTGTTTACAAATACTCCATGAATATATATTCTTACAGGAGCTATAGCCCTATAATTCTGCACAGGATTGCAGACAATTAGCACAACCCATGGTAGCAGACAATTAGCATAACCCATGGTAGCAGACAATTAGCACCACCCATGGTAGCAGACAATTAGCACAACCCATGGTAGCAGACATTTAGTACAACCCATGGTAGCAGACAATTAGCACCACCCATGGTAGCAGACAATTAGCACAACCCATGGTAGCAGACAATTAGCACAACCCATGGTAGCAGACAATTAGCACAACCCATGGTAGCATTTTTGGAATATTTGTCTGCAGTCCAGTTCAGAATTATAATGCTATAACTCTGAACTATTTGATGTATTAAATAATTCCATATTTCATCTTCAAATTAGGGTTTCTTATAAATGTGTTAGCCAGTATCAGCTAGGGACTCCAACGTCATGATTATGATGTCAAAATTGTAATAACACTTCAGAGCTATAGTCTTGGTACTCACTGTTGATTTAAATTTGATAGGATTAATATGGTATCAGTACAGAGCAAATGTTAAAAATTCAATGTGGTATTTAAAAATTAAAGGGAAACTGGACGCAACAAATCCAAGGACAGAGATCGTGGTCGGGGCAGATCTCGGGATAGATCAACAGAGAGATCTCGGGATAGATCAAGAGAACGGACCAGGAACAGGTCAAGAGACAGATGCAGGGAACGAGGACGACCTGACAGAAGGTCAAGAAGTAGGTCACTTGAGAAGTCTGCTGACCTCCGTGTGAAGATTGACAAGGCTAAATTAAGAGAAATAGCCATGTAAGTATTCATCAGGAAATAGTCATGTAATGGGAAAACAAAGATGTAAATATTCACGGGGAAATATTGAAGTAAATATATATATTCATGGGGAATAGTGAAGTAAATATTCATAAGAAAATAGTTAAGTAAATATTCAGAAGTTGGTATTCATGGGGAAATATCCATGTAAGTATTCATGGGGGATAAGCCATGTTATGATGAAGTTAGTCCTGGGGGAAAAGCCTAGTCAATAATCAAAGGGAGATAGCCATGTAAGTAGTCCTGGGGAAATAGCCATGTAAGTAGTCCTGGGGAAATACCCATGTAAGTAGTCCTGGGGAAATACCCATGTAAGTAGTCCTGGGGAAATAGCCATGTAGTAGTCCTGGGGAAATACCCATGTAAGTAGTCCCGGGGAAATAGCCATGTAAGTAGTCCCGGGAAAATAGCCATGCAAGTAGTCGCGGGGAAATAGCCATGTAAGTAGTCGCGGGGAAATAGCCATGTAAGTAGTCCTGGGGAAATAGCCATGTTGTAGTCCCGGGGAAATAGCCATGTAAGTAGTCCCGGGGAAATAGCCATGAAAGTAGTCCCAGGAAATAGCCATGTAAGTAGTCCCGGGGAAATAGCCATGTAAGTAGTCCCGGGGAAATAGCCATGTAAGTAGTCCTGGGGAAATAGCCATGTAGTAGTCCTGGGGAAATAGCCATGTAAGTAGTCCTGGGGAAATAGCCATGTAAGTAGTCCCGGGGAAATAGCCATGTAAGTAGTCCTGGGGAAATAGCCATGTAGTAGTCCTGGGGAAATAGCCATGTAAGTAGTCCTGGGGAAATAGCCATGTAAGTAGTCCCGGGGAAATAGCCATGTAAGTAGTCCTGGGGAAATAGCCATGTAGGTAGTCCTGGGGAAATAGCCATGTAGTAGTCCTGGGGAAATAGCCATGTAAGTAGTCCTGGGGAAATAGCCATGTAAGTAGTCCTGGGGAAATAGCCATGTAAGTAGTCCTGGGGAAATAGCCATGTAAGTAGTCCTGGGGAAATAGCCATGTAAGTAGTCCTGGGGAAATAGCCATGTAAGTAGTCCTGGGGAAATAGCCATGTAAGTAGTCCTGGGGAAATAGCCATGTAAGTAGTCCTGGGGAAATAGCCATGTAAGTAGTCCTGGGGAAATAGCCATGTAAGTAGTCCTGGGGAAATAGCCATGTAAGTAGTCCTGGGGAAATAGCCATGTAAGTAGTCCTGGGGAAATAGCCATGTAAGTAGTCCTGGGGAAATAGCCATGTAAGTAGTCCTGGGGAAATAGCCATGTAAGTAGTCCTGGGGAAATAGCCATGTAAGTAGTCCTGGGGAAATAGCCATGTAAGTAGTCCTGGGGAAATAGCCATGTAAGTAGTCCTGGGGAAATAGCCATGTAAGTAGTCCTGGGGAAATAGCCATGTAAGTAGTCCTGGGGAAATAGCCATGTAAGTAGTCCTGGGGAAATAGCCATGTAAGTAGTCCTGGGGAAATAGCCATGTAAGTAGTCCTGGGGAAATAGCCATGTAAGTAGTCCTGGGGAAATAGCCATGTAAGTAGTCCTGGGGAAATAGCCATGTAAGTAGTCCTGGGGAAATAGCCATGTAAGTAGTCCTGGGGAAATAGCCATGTAAGTAGTCCTGGGGAAATAGCCATATATGTAGTCCTGGGGAAATAGCCATGTAGTAGTCCTGGGGAAATAGCCATGTAAGTAGTCCTAGGGAAATACCCATGTAAGTAGTCCTGGGGAAATAGCCATGCAAGTAGTCCTGTGGAAATAGCCATTTCAGTAATGCTAATATCCTCAATCCCTGTAAAATGGCCATGCCAGTAATCAGGGAGAAATAGCTATGAAAATATGGATTTGGAATAAATTTCAAAGGCATATTGTAAAGAATAGAGTATTAAAACAGCTGATGAAGTTGTAAGTCATTGCAGGGTGAATGCTAAACCAGATTGGTAATTACCAATCAAATGTGAAGACTGTGTAATTGGAAAGTAAATGTAGTGATGAGGGATGCAGCTGTGTTCACATGTGTGTTTCAGTAAGAATGTTCTGGCGATGGCGAAGTCTGGCCATGGTCCTTCTGTAGATCTTACCACTATCAAGGCTGGAGGCACGTCGGTGGATGAGCTCACAGGTGAGACTACATACTGGTGATCACAGTCTGTATATCAGTATACATAGTACACCTATTCCTGTTATGGCAGCAGGCTCTGAAGGTCTCAGAAGCACATGTCATTATCTTTATGTAAAAAGGACTTGCTCGATAAACAAAAAATCTCAAAACATTAAAAATAATATCTGAATGCATTTAATAGTTTCTTATTTGGAATTTATGTGTACTTTTTAGACTTCTGTAAACGAATATCATCTAAAGAAAAGAACAGAGGTACAGAAACCTTTCTGTCCTCATCAGAAGAGGAATCCGATGCAGATGAGAAGGATGAGGATGAAAGTTTTATCCACCATCCATTTAAAGTGCGAGATCCTTCTGCCAGTATTGTGATGAACATCAGAGTAAGTTGGTCACAATCAAGGGGAGATAATAGAAGAGTTACCCATTCCATCAGGTTCAAAACATTTGGTATAGCACAGATACTTTGTTGTAATTACAACATATAAAATACACTTGAACGTGTCATTTCTTTAACACAATATGTTGTTTATTCAGCTCTTTCAAATTTCTATGGATATTTAGCTACAACTTTAATAACTTGGTTTGTTAGAATTTTTTCAAGCTCGCCTGGCCAAAGGGCCAAGTGACCTGTTGCTATCCATTTCAATGTGCCGTCTTTCTGTGATTTGATTTCTTTGAACCACTTCTTCTTCGGGGTCACGAGGCTGATCATTGAAACGAATTAAGTTGGAAGTATTCCAAATTTCTGTTTATCTAACAGATTTAACAGAAGTGGGAGAGGGGTGGGTGGTGTTGATGCTCAAAATGTAAAAAAAAATAGCAGGTCTTTAAAACCTTCTTGTTCTGTTTATAGCAGTCTGTTGGTATTTATGATATTTATTATGTGGTACCCTTACAACATTGTCTACAAAGTTTGCAACAGCAAAAAATCTTTAAATAAACAGCCACACTCCGTGTCACTCCGTGTCAGCAATGAATGTGCAATATTTTGATGTTTAAATACTTAAACAACTTCAACCAAATGACCTAAGATGATGATATTTGGATTGTAGCATCCTTGTATGGATTGTAGCATCCTTGTATGGATTGTTGCATCCTTGTATGGATTGTTGCAAAATTCGTGAAAAGAAATTACCTTGACTCATATTTTACTGAAGAACTGAAAGGGTTAAGTCATGATATTTGTCAAGTAGTTCGTAAAATGAAGTGCTAAGATGTTTATGAAAAGAAAGGCTATCTTCAGGCCCTCAGCTTTTTGTGTTAATGTACAGAACAATGAAGTAGTTTCACATTGACATTAATGGAACAGATCTGTAGTGGTACTGTAAATTAACTGCAACAGAAGTGCTATGTCGACTTAGTCTGTGTAACAACTACTGCCCTTGTCCTATCACCAGAATGCCAAACCCCTGCCCGTGCTGACACCTAAAGAAAAGATCACGGAGCAGTCCAAGCTGAGGATGCAGTTCCCTGTGTCTAGTGGCAGTGTTCACCGTCTGAAGGAGCCAGAGTGGGTCCCCGTACAGAAAACATCGACCACCACCACCACTTTAGCCTTGATGTCCAGTACACCAGCCACAGCATCATTTTCAGCCTCCCTCTCCACTTCTTTGACCATAGCCATCTCTAACCCCACGTCCACTGTTGCCAAAGACACCCCTCAGTTTGTACCCCCGCCACCACCCACAGACCCTCCACCACCACCAACCCCAGAGGAAAGAGTGTTCACAGAGCCTACCACTGTGGTAAGTGTCATTCCAAACATGTAAAAAAAAAAACTGTATTTATTTTGAAATAATTACGAATGACTCTTATTGACCTGGGTTGGAGTGGGTATGGAGTTTTAAAGAGGGAGGAAGTGGGAGTACCAGTGGAAAATGATAAATTTTACCTCAAATTAGTTTTAGAATGATTGTAATATATTTGTTCTATGAATATTTCAGAAAAAAATATCTTCATGAAAATTGGAGAATGCATGAAAATACTTTGATCCTGATGGAACTTACATTATTATACTTAATATTAGGAAGAAGTGCAACAAATCATTATCTTTAAAGTCTTTTTGTGACTAACAAGTGTTGAAAGAGAATATTCTCAGAAAATAGGCTATGGCAAAAGTGTTTATTTTTATTTCTTCTGATTGTGTAAAAAGAAGGGTGCAGTATGCTTTCATAGCAACTCTTAACAGACTTAATGCTTAATAGACATTTTTAAACAATGCACATATTAATTTGTAGCCAATGGACATTGGGACAATTATCTCCGAACGTCTCCTTGCTGTGAGGAAACTCCAGGAAAACCCCAAAGATATATCAGCACTGAGCAACATAGCTAATGCACAGAAAAAGGTATGTCTGACAACACCTAAGGAACAGTCTTTATCTGTTACGAATAGTTTAAACAATTGCTGAACAAAATTATGTCTTTGTGTTAAGTTTAAAGATAGATTAAGCTACTGTATCATTGATCACATAACAGGCCATTCTCACTCCATTATCTGAGATAATTGTTTTAGAACAACTTAAACCATGGATATTGTAATGCATTGTTCATTTCATTATTTCAAACCCCTTAAATTAATTCAAAGCAAAATGCTGACAACAATTAATGTGGAATATATATAGTGTCATCAGAGAAATAGATTTAATGGATAATGGTCAGTGGTAAGTACTTCCCTGTTACATATAAGCCTACCTGTCTGTTGTATATGTATGTGTTGGCCATTTCCCCTCCAGGCCAGTATGTGGGCAACATCCAAACAGTTACCAGGTCAGTTCATGGGATCTACTGGGGCACAGATCCTTACCCCTGAAGAGCTGATCGGCCCTGACAAAAGGCGCCAAGCCTGGGCCAAAAAGGTAGGACAAGATGGGACTGTCATTGTATTCATTCTACATGTCATCATTCAGTTGAATTTGTTTTGCATTCAAAATTAAGCTAGATATCATCAGTCATTAGGATAAGCAAAAAAGCTCAGTCAAAAACGTGTATTGAAAATATATCTTTTGGTTTAAAAATATAGTCTGTGTACTTTAAACAGCATATGATTGTATGTGATGGATAAAAAACATTGAATTTGTATTGTTTAATTTGTAATCTGCCTTTAGAATTACAAGCTGAAGTAACCATCACAGCTAAACAAATCCTTAAAATGGTTTGCTATGTCTTTCATCTTTAATGCTGAAGTTTAGCTGTTTATGGAAGACCGGTCTTTGCAGACAAAGGTTTCAGAGATCATATGCTGTTTCCATATAAACAATTGTGAAGCTGTGTTAGAAAGTTAGAAGAGGTGTGTAAATGTGTTTTAGACACAAAGTGTATATTCATTCACCTTTGTGTCGTGATCAGGATCACCAATACCAAATGACAATTATTATTTCTATATTAAACCTGGATACCAGTGATGTCCCCTTGTGTGATATCATGTACCAGACTTTCAGAGGCCTTGCCATCGTCAGATAGTTTATAAGTGTTTTAGTGAAAGCAGTACAAGCTCAACTGAATGATGAAATAACTGTCTATTTCCAGATCCTAAAGGTTATCAGGCACCTGTTGTCTGTGTGGCCGCCTCTCCACACAGAACCTCCATCGCCGTGGACATCTCTGTGCCTCATTGTGCTCCAATCACCGTCCATGTGATATCCATAGTGTTGGTTATATTATATATCTTTGTTTGTTTTCTATAAATTGCAACTGTATTTTTTCATTATACAAATGTACACAAGTATCAGAATTGTTACATTTGAATGAAAGACTCATCTTTGGCATTAAGATCATGATTTTGTCTAAAAAATATGATAAATTTTAGTAAAAGATTTACAAATTTTATTAAATTTGGAGGTGATGACTATTTTGGACCTGATTAGCAATATTGGCTGTGCAGGTGTTGACTATGGATATCACTGACTACTACCTGAGGCACATTGATGGCCATACTTACATTAATCACTCAGACAGATGCTTCTGTACACTCAGTTCTATTGCTGTAGTCACTTGTGTTTGTCAGTACATCAGCATCTTGTCTGTGTTTATAAGAAAACAACATTAACACATAGTATCACAGAAGCAGTTATACATTTCTGGATTTTAAATGTTAAGAAATTATTGTTCTGAAATATTTCCCTGTGAAATTGTAAGGGATTGTGATATTATCATTGCTCCGTTTCAGACTGGAATATATAGGTATGGTAATGTTTCAGAAGTTTATTGTAATCCAGTTGTTTGGATCGACATCACAACTGGAAACGTTGGATAAAGCTGGGACGGACGACACTCACAGTTGGGAATTTAACTAATTAGATTCCACCCGTCTGTAGTGGAAATGACATTGTAATATCTTCAGCAAAGCTCTTATTATATGTGGCCTATTGATATGTTCCCTGTTACTGAGTGTAGATATATGTGGCGTATTGATATGTTCCCTGTTACTGACTGTAGATATATGTGGCCTATTAATCTGTTCCCTGTTACTGAGTGTAGATATGTGTGGCCTATTGATATGTTCCCTGATACTGAGTGTAGATATATGTGACCTACAGAGAGGTTCCCGGTTACTGAGTGTAGATATATGTGGACTATTAATATGTTCCCTGTTACTGAGTGTAGATCTCGGTGGCCGCCGTATCAGTTACCAGTTACTGAGTGTAGATATATGTGGACTATTGATATGTTCCCTGTTACTGAGTGTAGGTATGTGTGGCCTATTGATATGTTCCCTGATACTGAGTGTAGATATATGTGACCTACAGAGAGGTTCCCGGTTACTGAGTGTAGATATATGTGGCGTATTGATATGTTCCCTGTTACTGAGCGTAGATATATGTGGCCTATTGATATGTTCCTGTTACTGAGTGTAGATATATGTGGCCTCTTAATATGTTCCCTGTTACTGAGTGTGGATATATGTAGCCTATTGATATGTTCCCTGTTCCTGAGTGTAGATATATGTGGCCTCTTGATATGTTCCCTGTTACTGAGGGTAGATATATGTGGCCTATTAATCTGTTCCCTGTTACTGAGTGTAGATATGTGTGGCCTATTGATATGTTCCCTGATACTGAGTGTAGATATATGTGACCTACAGAGAGGTTCCCGGTTACTGAGTGTAGATATATGTGGACTATTGATATGTTCCCTGTTACTGAGTGTAGGTATATGTGGCCTATTGATATGTTCCCGGTTACTGAGTGTAGATATATGTGACCTACAGAGAGGTTCCCGGTTACTGAGTGTAGATATATGTGACCTACAGAGAGGTTCCCGGTTACTGAGTGTAGATATATGTGGACTATTAATATGTTCCCTGTTACTGAGTGTAGATCTCGGTGGCCGCCGTATCAGTTACCAGTTACTGAGTGTAGATATATGTGACCTACAGAGAGGTTCCCGGTTACTGAGTGTAGATATATGTGGACTATTGATATGTTCCCTGTTACTGACTGTAGATATATGTGGCCTATTAATATGTGCCCTGTTACTGAGTGTAGATATATGTGGCCTATTAATATGTTCCCTGTTACTGAGTGTAGATATATGTAGCCTATTGATATGTTCCCTGTTACTGAGTGTAGATATATGTGACCTATTGATATGTTCCCTGTTACTGAGTGAAGACAGAAAGTTTCAGTTTTCTGCCTTTTTAACAAGTTTACATTTTACAGTGACACAGCTTCAAGGATTCATAAAAACAAGAGAGAAAAAAGTTACTAAAACCCTTTTCAGAAACATATGTTGTCTGCCTGTGCTATTACAGTATTGTAAATAATTGAAGCAGCAGTAAATTGAAAATTTATGTCCTGACCTCGTGTACCTGATACTCATGAGGGTATTACATATAGAAAAGATTATAGGACTTCAAAATCTTATGTTGACGCTACTTCTGGTGGAAAGAGTCTAACCAGTGAAAGACTTATTCTCGGAGAGATTTATCCCAGCCTCATCAAGAATCGGCAATGTCCTTGATGTGGTCAGCAGTGATGTAGATAAAATCAAACAATTCATTATAATGTACTTTTGAAACATTGGCCCATTATACCTATTGTCCATTTTGAAGCGGCATGTTGGCAAATCTTAAACTGTATAGAGGTTCTTGTCGATATGTGAAAAACAATCCATATCTGCTTCTATCATACATGTCTGTGGACTGGAAGCATGCTTAGATTGCACCTACTATTTCTGTAGTCAAGGTTTTCCTGGTGAGTTAAACACATTGGATTATTAATGACATAACAGGTAAGGGACATTTGACTGGTATTTTCTGAAACCAAAATTACAATTATCTGCTTAACTTAAATTTTATTTCTGCTGAAGAAATTGTTACCATGTGTGATAACCTTACCTACAGATACACACACAGGTGTGCTAAGTTAGTAGGTGCAATTTGTATGTTACCTCTCATTTAATGGCCAACAGCTTCCGTAAACGACAGATCCCTGTCGCCATAGCAACGACTGATGGTGTCACTAGGAGACAGTATTTGTGTGACCTTGGCCTTGTGTGTCACTACACACCTCCAGTGATCAGCATGTGGTAAGTCAAGGCAGCAGGGACAGATAACCCAGCCAGGAAGGGGAACGTTCAGGTGCCCAGGATTTAGGTGTTGATTACTTTAGTGTTAATTTTATTGGTGTGCTATGACCTTCAACAGAAAATAAATTACTGTAGTGTTAATATTATTGGTGTGTTATGACCTTCAACATAAAATAAATTACTGTAGTGTTAATATTATTGGTGTGTTATGACCTTCAACAGAAAATAAATTACTGTAGTGATGTAGTCATTAATAATAAATATGCAGTTTTGAATGATTCTATAGATTTTTGTTAAAGTATATAAAAGTATTGGAGATGTGACAGCACAATTCAAAGTGTCATGAGTAATTAACTTTTGTTCAATTCAATCTGTTATAGAGTTCTGGTAGCTACATTTCGAAAGCATGCTGTATATCTTTATGACCAGTAGATAGGCCAATGGACAAATGTTTTCTTTATAATCTTATATATGTTATATATATAGTCTAGACTTTGTGTGACTTAAGTTTTAAAGAACTTTGGGCTAACAAAATTGTATCAGTATTACCATATTTAGGTCACCTGATCATGAGCCAAAGACTAAAGTGACCTATTGTAATTTATTTGTGTCTGCCAGTATCAGCTGTTATGTGTAAACCATTTTGTACGTGGTACTAAGAACAGACTCCAGTACATGTATTGTTATTTTGTGGGTCAATCCAGTATGGCTACCACAGCTGCTTGTTTGATAAGTATTTCAAACCTAACTCCCATTTTAATGGGCAGATTTGTGAAAATAATTGACCTTGAACCACATTCAAGGTAACATGAAACAAAAGAACTTAAAGACTTAGATGCATAATATATGTGGAGTAGCTTGCTGGCAGGAAGTGCTACGAAGTTTGCAAGCATAAATGATGTAGATCCACATTCAACGTCACTGAAATCTAATTTGTTAAAATACTAAAAAAGTTTCTTTTGAATAACTAAATACTTTAAGCCATGATATAAGGCAGTAAATTGCTAAAATGTAGCGCTAGGATGTTTTTGAAAAGAAAGGCAACAGATGAGTGCCTTCAGGCCCTTGTTAATGAAAATGTTACACTTTTTTTCTTAAATGTTGAGCAGTTTGTATCACAATATTTTTACTCTAATGGACTTTTGCCTTGAGGACCGTTTGACCTCTGAAATAAAAAATGTATGAGAGATAAGATAATGATTGAAATAAAACAGCATTGAATACTAAGCAGAGCTGTGTATTTCTGTATTGTACACTGTAGGTAAAAGATTCACTGTATGTTATGTTAGATGTTGCGTATGTCTGATATCTGTATGTCTGTTGGTACAGGACCAGTTTCAGAAGGCGGCACCAGTGAGCGGAGGTATCGGCATGGCCCTGCTACAGAAGATGGGCTGGAAGCTGGGAACCGGCCTTGGAAAGAACAATGAGGGTTCACTGGAACCACTAAAACTGGACATAAAGACTGACCGCAAAGGTCAGTGATAGGTTTTATTTTTTTGATTTAGTTTTATGTCCTATCAGTGCTATGGAGTGTACAAAAAATAAGATATTGCTTGGCTTAGTAATAACCACTGTGTCATGGTGGTGTTTCAATAATTCAGTCCCCATTATTTTCAGCAAAAGTGCCTAAACCATTTAGAAAAAGTGGCAGGGGGGAAATGCATTAACATGAAACCAGTGAAATTTGGTAGTCCTGGGGTATGCCTACTCCTGGAACTGTCCCAGGGAAACTGGTTTAAACTTGGATAAGGCTTAATCAAGGAACCTGATGAGCTTTTCTGAAAAGTGTATGTGTAATGAACTTCAACACCAACACCATACCAAACTAAACTTCTGAACAGTCCACACGTACTGCTTAACAATTCACCCCCATATCAGTCCGGCTCCAAACTCAGGAATTAGCAAAACACTAACCTTGACACTCGGACATAAATTGACAGACATCTGCTCGAAACACTCACCTTGAAACTCGGACATATATTGACAGACATCTGCTCGAAATATTATAAATCCAGATTCATCAGTGAAGAGCATGGACCTGCTACGTCTCTTGAAACACTGCTTGGCATTAATATTTCTCCTATTTTTATACAGCTCTGTATATCAAATACAAAATACTTTACAATTTAAGGAGTTGCATTCTTTTTCATTTGAAAATTTGCCAGATGAATTGTAGGCCTCTATACCATTCACATAGTATATATTTGTATATGCTGCATCATAACTTAGGCATCCAATCCCGACTAAAAGTCTATTTTGTGGATTTGTAATACTTCAGAAAATCTGGAAGGCCTCTGACTGAATGTACGTAGTTTGTCTTGCTTTAAAACTTGTTATTGTAATGTAATGAAAATAAAACCATAATTAAACTAGCAACAATTGTCATCAACCTTGAGCCATCATGTATCATTTACATTTTCTATAACTTAAGTATTATTGTACCTGACAGAAAATCTGAGTCTTGTGTTACACATGTCTATAACTTGACCGGTACATCTGTCCAGGGCTGAGTGATGTGTGACACATGTCTATAACTTGACCTAACTTGACCGGTACATCTGTCCAGGACTGAGTGATATGTTACACATGTCTACAACTTGACCGGTACATCTGTCCAGGACTGAGTGATGCGTTACACATGTCTATAACTTGACAGTTTCTATAACTTGACCGGTACATATGTCCAGGACTGAGTGTTGTGTTACACATGTCTATAACTTGACCGGTATATCTGTTCAGTGCTGAGTGATGTGTTACACATGTCTATAACTTGACCGGTACATCTGTCCAGGGCTGAGTGATGTGTTACACATGTCTGTAACTTGACCGGTACATCTGTCCAGGGCTGAGTGTTGTGTTACACATATTTATAACTTGACCGGTACATCTGTCCAGGGCTGGGTGTTGTGTTACACATGTCTATAACTTGACCGGTACACCTGTCCAGGGCTGAGTGATGTGTTACACATGTCTATAACGTGACCGGTACATCTGTCCAGGGCTGAGTGTTGTGTTACACATGTATGTCTATAACTTGACCGGTATATCTGTTCAGGGCTGAGTGATGTGTTACACATGTCTATAACGTGACCGGTACATCTGTCCAGGGCTGAGTGTTGTGTTACACCTATCTATAACTTGACCGGTATATCTGTCCAGGGCTGAGTGTTATGTTACACATGTCTATAACTTGACCGGTACACCTGTCCAGGGCTGAGTGATGTGTTACACATGTGTATAACTTGACCGGTATATCTGTCCAGGGCTGAGTGTTTCGTCACACATATCTATAACTTGACCAGTACATCTGTCCAGGGCTGAGTGATGTTGAGTGATGTGTTACACATGTCTATAACTTGACCGGCATATCTGTCCAGGGCTGAGTGTTGTGTTACACATGTCTATAACACACATGTCTATAACTTGACAGGTACATCTGTCCAGGGCTGAGTGATATGTTACACATGTCTATAACTTGACCGGTACACCTGTCCAGGGCTGAGTGATGTGTTACACATGTGTATAACTTGACCGGTATATCTGTTCAGTGCTGAGTGATGTGTTACACATGTCTACAACTTGACCGGTACATCTGTCCAGGACTGAGTGATGCGTTACACATGTCTATAACTTGACCGGTATATCTGTTCAGTGCTGGGGGGTGTGTTACACATGTCTATAACTTGACAGGTACCTCTGTCCAGGGCTGAGTGATGTGTTACACATATCTATAACTTGACCGGTGCTGAGTGTTGTGTTACACATGTCTATACCTTGACCGGTATATCTGTCCAGGGCTGGGTGATGTGTTACACATGTCTATAACTTGACCAGTACATCTGTCCAGGGCTGAGTGATGTTGAGTGATGTGTTACACATGTCTATAACTTGACGGGTACATCTGTCCAGGGCTGAGTGATGTGTTATACATGTCTATAACTTGACCGGTACATCTGTCCAGGGCTGAGTGTTTCGTCACACATATCTATAACTTGACCAGTACATCTGTCCAGGGCTGAGTGATGTGTTACACATGTCTCAGGTACATCTGTCCAGGGCTGAGTGATGTGTTACACATATCTATAACTTGACCGGTATTTCTGTTCAGTGCTGAGTGATGTGTTACACATGTCTGCAACTTGACCGGTACATCTGTCCAGGGCTGAGTGTTTTGTCACACATATCTATAACTTGACCGGTATTTCTGTTCAGTGCTGAGTGATGATTTACACATGTCTATAACTTGACCGGTATATCTGTCCAGGGCTGAGTGACATGTTGCACATGTCTGTAACTTGACCGGTACAACTGTCCAGGGCTGAGTGATGTGTTACACATGTCTATAACTTGACCGGTATTTCTGTTCAGTGCTGAGTGATGTTTTACACATGTCTATAACTTGACCGGTACATCTGTCCAGGACTGAGTGATGTGTTACACATGTCTATAACTTGACAGGTACATCTGTCCAGGGCTGAGTGATGTGTTACACATGTCTCAGGTACATCTGTCCAGGGCTGAGTGATGTGTTACACATGTCTATAACTTGACAGTTACATCTGTCCAGGGCTGAGTGATGTGTTTCACATGTCTATAACTTGACCAGTATATCTGTCCAGGGCTGAGTGTTGTGTTACACATATTTATAACTTGACCGGTACATCTGTCCAGCACTGAGTGATGTGTTACACATGTCTATAGCTTGACCGGTATATCTGTCCAGGGCTGAGCGATGTGTTTCACATGTCTATAACTTGACCAGTAGATCTGTCCAGGGCTGAGTGTTGTGTTACACCTATCTATAACTTGACCGGTATATCTGTGTCCAGGGCTGAGTGATGTGTTACACATATGTATAACTTGTCCGGTATATCTGTCCAGGGCTGAGTGATTTGTTACACATATCTATAACTTGACCGGGACATCTGTCCAGGGCTGAGTGATGTGTTGATGTGTTACACATGTCTATAACTTGACAGTTACATCTGTCCAGGGCTGAGAGATGTGTTTCACATGTCTATAACTTGACCGGTACATATGTCCAGGGCTGAGTGATGTGTTACACATGTCAGTGATGTGTTTCACATGTCTATAACTTGACCGGTACATCTGGCCAGGACTGAGTGATGTGTTACACATGTCTATAACTTGGCCGGTATATCTGTCCAGGGCTGAGTGACATGTTACACATGTCTGTAACTTGACCGGCACATCTGTCCAGGGCTGAGTGATGTGTTTCACATGTCTATAACGTGAGTGGCATATCTGTCCAGGGCTGAGTGATGTGTTATACATGTCTATAACTTGACCGGTACATCTGTCTAGGGCTGAGTGATGTGTTACACATGTCAGTGATGTGTTTCACATGTCTATAACTTGACCAGTAGATCTGTCCAGGGCTGAGTGTTGTGTTACACCTATCTATAATTTGACCGGTATTTCTGTCCAGGGCTGAGTGATGTGTTACACATATGTATAACTTGTCCGGTATATCTGTCCAGGGCTGAGTGATTTGTTACACATATCTATAACTTGACCGGTACTTCTGTCCCGGGCTGAGTGATGTGTTACACATGTCTTTAACTTGACCGGTACATCTGTCCAGGGCTGAGTGTTGTGTTACACATATCTATAACTGGACCGGTACATCTGTCCAGGGCTGAGTGTTGTGTTACACATATTTATAACTTGACCGGTAAATCTGTCCAGGGCTGAGTGATGTGTTATACATGTCTATAACTTGACCGGTACATCTGTCCAGTGCTGAGTGATGTGTTACACATGTCTATGACTTGACCGGTATATCTGTCCAGGGCTGAGTGGTGTGTTACACATGTCTATAACTTGACCTGTATATCTGTCCAGGGCTGAGTGTTGTGTTACACATATTTATAACTTGACCGGTACATCTGTCCAGCACTGAGTGATGTGTTACACATGTCTATAGCTTGACCGGTATATCTGTCCAGGGCTGAGTGAAGTGTTACACATATCTATAACTTGACCGGGACATCTGTCCAGGGCTGAGTGATGGGGTACACATGTCTATAACTTGACAGTTACATCTGTCCAGGGCTGGGTGATGTGTTACACATATCTATAACTAGACCGGTATATCTTTCCAGGGCTGAGTGATGTGTTTCACATGTGTACATCTGTCCAGGGCTGCGTGATGTGTTACACATGTCTATAACTTAACCGGTATATCTGTCCAGGGCTGAGTGATTTGTTACACATATCTATAACTTGACCGGTGCTGAGTGTTGTGTTACACATGTCTATACCTTGACCGGTATATCTGTCCAGGGCTGGGTGATGTGTTACACATATCTATAACTTGACCGGTATATCTGTCCAGGGCTGAGTGATGTGTTTCACATGTCTATAACTTGACTGGTATATCTGTCCAGGTAACTTGACCGGTTTAACATAATCTATAACTTGACCGGGGCTGAGTGTTGTGTTACACATGTCTATAACTTGACCGGTACATCTGTCCAGGGCTGAGTGTTGTGTTACACCTATCTATAACTTGACCGGTATATCTGTCCAGGGCTGAGTGATGAGTTACACATGTCTATAACTTGACTGGGATATCTGTCCAGGGCTGAGTGATGTGTTACACATGTCTATAACTTGACTGGTATATCTGTCCAGGGCTGAGTGTTGTGTTATGATGTGTTACACATGTCTATACCTTAACTGATGTATCTGTCCAGGTCTGACTTCACAAGAGGAACATTCCAAGAAAGGACGAGGCCACCATGGAGGGAAGGGCCATGGTGGGGGTGCTGGAGGGGGAGGAGGGGGAATCGTCACGCATGATCTCTCAAGTAAGTACGACATACTATTGTGTAGAGATTTCACATCAAATATTAAAGTTAACAATATGACCTCACCTGACCATAAAGGAAGGTTCAGGTAAACCAAAACCTTAGGTCAAAAGGGAGGCAGCTTTTTAATCTCACACTTTTGATTTTTATAATTGAGTTACGAAAAAATCTAGATGTGTCAAGGTCACATGTATACTTAATGTATGAAGTAAGAAGTACACAGTAACAAAGTGTTATCATGGTTTGGTTTCGTTCCGTAGGTAAACACCCTGTGTCAGCCCTGATGGAGCTATGTAACAAAAGGAGGTGGGGGCCACCAGATTTCCAGCTTGTGCATGAAAGTGGACCAGACCATAAAAAGCACTTCCTCTTCAAGGTAAAGTATGTCTTGTCAACAAGCAGTAAACACAAATAAATCATTCATCGCTTTTATCATTTGATTTCAAAAACTGATCATGATCAAACTTGTAATGAATGAATCTCGATATCATTGTAGGTGATAATAAATGGGAATTCCTATCAGCCATCCGTCGCAAGTAACAACAAAAAGATGGCCAAGGCTTCAACAGCTGCTGCCTGTCTCCAGGAACTCGGCCTCATTCCTCGCACTTGACCATTTAATGGTCTGTAACGTAATTTCCCAAGTTACTAAATACCTGACATGTCATGGAGCCGCTGAATGGAGTCTTCTGACATTGTATCATGTACCAACACCTCTCCAGGGGCCACGACAAAACTGGTTTTCATCTAACACCTTGTTATGTATCTCACGACAGGCCACGATGCTAGATGTCGCGACATTACATAATGTCATCATGTACTTGACTTCTCCCATGAGCCATGACAAAGATATTTAGACCTAACACAGTGTCACTGTGTATCTGACTTTTTCTAGAGCCAGGGAACAGGATGTTCTGCTATTGGACCAAGGCATCTTGTACCTGACCTCTGGTTGAACTGAGTGTTTAGGCATTGTGTCAAGTCAACATTAAGGTGATTTATCATAAGGACATAGTGTCTAAGGAAGGGCGGGCTTTTAGGCATTGTGTCAAGTCAACTTTAAGGTGATTTATCATAAGGACATAGTGTCTAAGGAAGGGCGGGCTTTTAGGCATTGTGTCAAGTCAACTTTAAGGTGATATATCATAAGGACATATTGTCTAAGGAAGGGCGGCTTTTCAAAAAGGATGTTGTGAGTAGTGTTAGCTTATTAAAGCCAACATGATATACATGCAAGCCCTGTAGTGTGAGTTACACAGTGACTTCAGACTTGAACTTTATTGCTGGGCTTTCTACTTAATATATATGGTAGGAGAACTAAGACCGAAGATATACATGCTACTTAAGAATACTTGTGGAATGGGTTACTGTTTAAGGTAGGAACACTGATTTTCTTGGTGAAGACTTTAAATGGCAGTGTGTGACATGTTATGATATACTTCTGATCATGTGTTCATTAGAAGTTGACTTTAGTTGGCAATTTCATTATAGAAGAGTACAGACAAGCATTGATACAATGTGTACAAATTGTATTCAAGGGAAAATGTTCAGGTAAACATTGCTTGTTGATCATGACTTAAATGTTTATGTTGTGTGTGTGTTTCTTTAACATTTAATGAGAATATGACACCTGAGATAGTTAAAATTGTATCAATCTATTTGTAGTGAAAGTTACTTAACTAATACACATAGCCTTATACATGTAATACCAAAAGGTTAACAAACAAACAATGATACCGCTGTATCTTGTTTTCTCCCTTCATAGATGCTATGGTGGTTGGTGTATTCAAGGACTACAATTTCATCTGCCAGATTTCAGTCTGATCGATTCATTAGTAATCTATGATCCCATTGTGTCAAACACAAGTATACTAGGGGTAGTTATTTACAATGTCAATGACAACACTATTCTCCAACTACGTTTTCATAATCTTCATTCCCATTTATTGACAAATTTACTATCATGCTTACAATCAATAACGTAACGAAAATTGTAAAGTTACAATTTATTGTAAGTTATGTTAACAAATTTATGTCTTATCAGGTACACATTGTAACCACTTGGAGTGATAAACAGAGGAATGTAGAACCGTGATCGTTTATCATTCCTGATCAAGGTATTTTTCCATCCCATTGAGATGATACTGTTCCTGTATAAAATTTAACAATTGTAACAGTGGGGGACTCTGACATATGTACTGGCCTGATCAGAGACATATGTACTGGTTATATTTGAGACATATGTACTGGCTATATCAGAGACATATGTACTGGCTATGTCAGTGACATATGTACTGGCTATATCAGTGACATATGTACTGGTTATATCAGAGACATATGTACTGGCTATGTCAGTGACATATGTACTGGTTATATCAGAGACATATGTACTGGCTATATCAGTGACATATGTACTGGTTATATCAGAGACAAATGTACTGGTTATATCAGAGACATATGTACTGGTAATATCAGAGACAATGTCTATAACTTGACTGGGATAATATGTACTGGCTATATCAGAGACATATGTACTGGCTATATCAGTGACATATGTACTGGTTATATCAGAGACAAATGTACTGGTTATATAAGAGACATATGTATTGGCTATATCAGAGACATTTGTATTGGCTATATCAGAGACATATGTACTGGCTATATCAGAGACATATGTACTGGCTATATCAGAGACATATGTACTGGCTATATCAGTGACATATGTACTGGTTATATCAGAGACAAATGTACTGGTTATATCAGAGACATATGTACTGGCTATATCAGTGACATATGTACTGGTTATATCAGAGACAAATGTACTGGTTATATAAGAGACATATGTACTGGCTATATCAGAGACATTTGTATTGGCTATATCAGAGACATATGTACTGGCTATATCAGAGACATATGTACTGGCTATATCAGAGACATATGTACTGGTTATATCAGAGACAAATGTACTGGTTATATCAGAGACATATGTACTGGCTATATCAGAGACATATGTACTGGCTATATCAGTGACATATGTACTGGTTATATCAGAGACAAATGTACTGGTTATATCAGAGACATATGTACTGGCTATATCAGAGACATATGTACTGGCTATATCAGAGACATATGTACTGGTTATATCAGAGACAAATGTACTGGTTATATCAGAGACATATGTACTGGCTATATCAGAGACATATGTACTGGTTATATCAGAGACAAATGTACTGGTTATATAAGAGACATATGTATTGGCTATATCAGAGACATTTGTATTGGCTATATCAGAGACATATGTACTGGCTATATCAGAGACATATGTACTGGCTATATCAGAGACATATGTACTGGTTATATCAGAGACAAATGTACTGGTTATATCAGAGACATATGTACTGGCTATATCAGTGACATATGTACTGGTTATATCAGAGACAAATGTACTGGTTATATCAGAGACATATGTACTGGCTATATCAGTGACATATGTACTGGTTATATCAGAGACAAATGTACTGGTTATATCAGAGACATATGTACTGGCTATATCAGAGACATATGTACTGGCTATATCAGAGACATATGTACTGGTTATATCAGAGACAAATGTACTGGTTATATCAGAGACATATGTACTGGCTATATCAGAGACATATGTACTGGTTATATCAGAGACATATGTACTGGTTATATCAGAGACAAATGTACTGGTTATATCAGAGACATATGTACTGGCTATATCAGTGACATATGTACTGGTTATATCAGAGACAAATGTACTGGTTATATAAGAGACATATGTACTGGCTATATCAGAGACATATGTATTGGCTATATCAGAGACATATGTACTGGCTATATCAGTGACATATGTACTGGTTATATCAGAGACAAATGTACTGGTTATATCAGAGACATATGTACTGGCTATATCAGAGACATATGTACTGGCTATATCAGAGACATATGTACTGGCTATATCAGTGACATATGTACTGGTTATATCAGAGACAAATGTACTGGTTATATCAGAGACATATGTACTGGCTATATCAGAGACATATGTATTGGCTATATCAGAGACATATGTACTGGCTATATCAGTGACATATGTACTGGTTATATCAGAGACAAATGTACTGGTTATATCAGAGACATATGTACTGGCTATATCAGTGACATATGTATTGGCTATATCAGAGACATATGTACTGGCTATATCATTGACATGTGTACTGGCTATATCAGTGACATGTGTACTGGCTATATCAGAGACATATGTACTGGCTATATCAGAGACATATATATGTGTACAGAGAGTGAGATATATATGTACATAATGAATATATATGTACAGAGAGTGAGATATGTATGTATATAATGAGTATATGTGTACAGAGAGTGAGATATGTATGTACATAATGGGTATATGTGTACAGAGAGTGAGATATGTATGTACATAATGAGTATATGTGTACAGAGAGTGAGATATGTATGTACATAATGAGTATATGTGTACAGAGAGTGAGATATGTATGTATATAATGAGTATATGTGTACAGAGAGTGAGATATATATGTACATAATGAGTATATATGTACAGAGAGTGAGATATTTATGCATCAGTATATACATTAACATGATATGACTTTGCAGTGTGGCTGCTGAGGTTGACATTGATGTATGCCTGGTTTCTGTTGTTTATTTTGTAGGTGCTATATGTTTTATACTAAATGAAGTCCCTTCAATACTGATGTCTTGTGTTTTTATTTAACAACATCAGTATAGTACTCGTAACGAAATATAAGTCCTTGAATTGATGTGTGATTGGAACAAAAAACTGTTAAGGTAAACTCAGTAGGGAAAAGTTAATATAAAGCATTTAACTTTAATTCAAGGGAGGTAAATCTAGCCAAACAGAAGTATTCTGTTGATGTATCTAAGTCACAAGTTAAAGCTGGGTTCCTATTTTACTGGACGACTCTACCAGAATGACATAAAGGTGAAGGGCATTACGTCATTAATCCTCAGCATGCTCTACAAACACCAACAGAATCTTTCTGCAGTATATGAGAGTTAACTGATGTCTTCCCAGTCATCAAAGTTTATCTAGATAAAGCCAAATGAACCAATTGGTTCTTTACAGTTTCACGATATCTACGTACTATTTGCCTCAGCATACTGATGTAATGGTGATGGTACGATGTCAAAGAGCAGTAACGGCAGAAAATGACTGTATCCTTGGTTCTATAGTGTTAGAGTAACTATTGAAAATGTCCCAAGAAAAAGCTCATTGGATAGCTTCAATCTGGTAGTAACCACATTAAGACCACATTCGAACTGTCAATGCAGACCACATTTGAACGGTCAATGCAGACCACATTCAAACTGTCAATGCAGTGCTTATTATTTGGTCCATTGTTTACTTATTTACGGTACATCGTTCACAGGATAAACAGGTTTTTTTTCCCGTATGTTAAACACTGTCTTCTTTGGACGACTTTCTTCCTGTTCAGGTTCCCTGATATTTGACACCTTTCGTCATTATGATTGAAATCACCTGTAGACGGTTTTAACTTGGTGACCGTGAACTAACACTGCAGATGATATGGTTGTCCAACCTTTTGGAAAAACTCCCAGCTGTAGTTCCTGCTGAATCTGTCCAGTCTTCTACTACCGAGGGGGTTCCTGCTGAATCTGTCCAGTCTTCTCCTGCATAAGGAGTTCCTGATGAATCTGTACAGTCGTCTACTGCCGAGGGAGTTCCTGATGATTCTGTCCAGTCTTCTACTGCCGAGAGGATTCCTGATGAATCTGTCCAGTCGTCTACTACCAAGGGAGTTCCTGATGATTCTGTCCAGTCTTCTCCTGCATAAGGAGTTCCTGATAATTCTGTCAATTCTTCTACTACCAATGGGGTTCCTACTGAATCTGTCCAGTCCCTCCTGCATAGGGAGTTCCTGATAAATCTGTCCAGTCTTCTACTGCCGAGGGAGTTCCTGATGAAACTGTCCAGCGTTCAACTGCCGAGGTAGTTCCTGATGAATCTGTCCAGTCTTCTACTGCCGAGGGAGTTCCTGATGAAACTGTCCAGTGTTCTACTGCCGAGGGAGTTCCTGATGAATCTGTCCAGTCTTCTACTGCCGAGGGAGTTCCTGATGAATCTGTCCAGTCGTCTTCTGCCGAGGGAGTTTCTGATAAATCTGTTCAGTCTTCTACTGCTGAGGGAGTTCCTGGTGAATCTGTCCAGAGTTCTACTGCCGAGAGGGTTCCTGATGAATCTGTCCAGTCTTCTACTACCGAGTGATTTCCAGATGAATCTGTCAAGTTTTCTACTGCCGAGGGAGTTCCAGATGAATCTGTCCAGTCTTCTACTGCCGAAGAGGTTTCTGATGAATCTGTCCAGACTTCTACTGCCGAGGGTCTTCCTGATGAATCTGTCAAGTCGTCTACTGCCGAAGGAGTTCCTGATAAATCTGTCCAGCTTTCTACTGCCGAGGGGGCTCCTGGTGGATATGTCAAGTCTTCTTCTGCCGAGGGAGTTCCTGATGAATCTGTCCAGTCTCCTACTGCCGAGGGATTTCCTGAAGAATCTGTACAGTGTTCTACTATCGCGGGGGTTCCTGATGAAGTTGTCCAGTCTCCTACTGTCGAGGGAGTTCCTGATGAATCTGTCCAGCGTTCTACTGTTGAGGGAGTTCCTGATGAATCTGTCCAGTCTCCTACTGCCGAGGGAGTTCCTGATGAATCTGTCCAGTCTCCTACTGCCGAGGGATTTCCTGAAGAATCCGTACAGTGTTCTACTATCGCGGGGGTTCCTGATGAAGTTGTCCAGTCTCCTACTTTCGAGGGAGTTCCTGATGAATCTGTCCAGTCTCCTACTGCCGAGGGAGTTCCTGATGAATCTGTCCAGTCGTCTTCTGCCGAGGGAGTTCATGTTAAATCTGTTCAGTCTTCTACTTCCGAGGGAGTTCCTGATGAATCTGTTCAGTCTTCTACTGCCGAGGGAGTTCTTGATAAATATTTCTTGCCTTCTACTGCCGAGGGAGTTCCTGATGAATCTGTCCAGTCTCCTACTGCCGAGGCGGTTCCTGGTGAATCTGACCACCGTTCTACTACCGAGGGGGTTCCTGCTTAATCTGTCCAGTCTTCTACTGCATCGGGAGTTCCTGATGAATCCGTCCAGTCGTCTACTGCCAAGAGAGTTCCTGATGAATCTGTCCAACGTTCTTCTGCCGAGGGAGTTCTTGATGAATCTGTCCAGTCTTCTACTGCATCGGGAGTTCCTGATGAATCCGTCCAGTCGTCTACTGCCAAGAGAGTTCCTGATGAATCTGTCCAACGTTCTACTGCCGAGGGAGTTCTTGATGAATCTGTCCAGTCTTCTACTGCCGAGGGAGTTCCTGATGAATCTGTCCAGTCGTCTTCTGCCGAGGGTTTTCATGTTAAATCTGTTCAGTATTCTACTGCCGAGGGAGTTCCTGATGAATCTGTTCAGTCTTCTACTGCCGAGGGAGTTCCTGATAAATATTTCTTGCCTTCTACTGCCGAGGGAGTTCCTGATGAATCTGTCCAGTCTTCTACTGACGAGGGAGTTCATGATAATTCTGTCCAGTCTTCTACTGCCGAAGAGGTTTCTGATGAATCTGTCCAGACTTCTACTGTCGAGGGTCTTCCTGATGAATCTGTCAAGTTGTCTACTGCCGAAGGAGTTCCTGATAAATCTGTCCAGCTTTCTACTGCCGAGGGGGTTCCTGGTGGATATGTCAAGTCTTCTTCTGCCGAGGGAGTTCCTGATGAATCTCTCCAGTCTCCTACTGCCGAGGGATTTCCTGAAGAATCTGTACAGTGTTCTACTGTCGCGGGGGTTCCTGATGAAGTTGTCCAGTCTCCTACTGTCAAGGGAGTTCCTGATGAATCTGTCCAGCGTTCTACTGTTGAGGTAGTTCCTGATGAATCTGTCCAGCGTTCTACTGCTCAGGGAGTTTCTGATGAATCTGTCCACTCGTCTACTGCCGAGAGACATCCTGATGAATCTGTCCAGTCTTCTACTACCGAGGGATTTCCAGATGAATCTGTCAAGTTTTCTACTGCCGAGGGAGTTCCTGGTGAATCTGTCCAGAGTTCTACTGCCGAGAGGGTTCCTGATGAATCTATCCCGTCTCCTACTGCCGAGGTGTTCCAGATGAATCCGTCCAGTCTTCTACTGCCGAAGAGGTTTCTGATGAATCTGTCCAGACTTCTACTGCCGAGGGTCTTCCTGATGAATCTGTCAAGTCGTCTACTGCCGAAGGAGTTCCTGATAAATCTGTCCAGCTTTCTACTGCCGAGGGGGTTCCTGGTGGATATGTCAAGGTTTCTTCTGTCGAGGGAGTTCCTGATGAATCTGTCCAGTCTCTTACTGCCGAGGGAGTTCCTGATGAATCTGTACAGTGTTCTACTGTCGCGGGGGTTCATGATGAAGTTGTCCAGTCTCCTACTGTCGAGGGAGATCCTGATGAATCTGTCCAGCGTTCTACTGCTGAGGGAGTTTCTGATGAATCTGTCCACTCGTCTACTGCCGAGAGACTTCCTGATGAATCTGTCCAGTCTTCTACTACCGAGGGATTTCCAGATGAATCTGTCAAGTTTTCTACTGCCGAGGGAGTTGCTGATGAATTTGTTCAGAGTTCTACTGCCGAGAGGGTTCCTGATGAATCTATCCCGTCTCCTACTGCCGAGGGAGTTCCAGATGAATCTGTCCAGTCTGCTATTGAAGAAGGACCTCGCGTGGCATTACGCTTCGTAGTATATTACCTGTGTGGGGAGAAATATATATCTATTATTTGCCCTGCAATCCATAAATACGAAGTTTAATCGTCCAATCTGTGACCTGTTTTCACATGTTCGTCAAAGTTTGACGGGACATTTAGTGCTTCCCCCGTCAACGTTTTCGTTCTGCACTATATAACGTACGTAGCTGAGCATGTTAAATGTATAATCACTAGGAAACTGCTCTCTCACTGGAGGTTTGAGATGCTCTTTTTGTGACCACTTTACTTGGTGGTTTGAACTGCTGAACAAGCTTATCTATCCATCCGATCACCATAGAATTGACTTCCTTGCCTTGAATATAATTCGTGTTCAAGTAACTATACGTACTTTCTTCGGTGCTGACGAGAAATGGCGACTCTGCACGTGGGTGGTTGTCATATTCGAGGCATCCTTGGATCCCCGGTTCGTAGATGGTAGATCCCCACCTTCATCCGAGGTCATCTTATATCCATTTTTGCAGTATTGGCACTCATTCTTCTGAATAACCAGGGGCCAAGATTCTGGTTCTGGCCACGCAATAGCGTGCTGATGTAAAGTGCGATCAAGTTTGTAAGAAAAATGACCTCGGCACGATCCAGTTTAGAGGGAACGTGGGAAATATGTTTATCTTAAAAAACATATTTCCCAGCAGCCAAGTTGCCTTTATGTCTATCTCTTGTGAGATTTGTCTCCAGAAACCCCAATGTTATATGACGCGCTAGTATATGGAGCCACGGGAAGGTTTTGCTTTATATGAAAACTTTTCAAATCTTCGACAGATTTCTTCATTCACAAATGGAGTGTACTCTTTTGCCAGGGTGTCTACACTCCAGCGCCGGGTGGGCAAACAGTTAAAACTTATTTACAGTTTCAATATGTTTTAAAAATAGTTGTATGTTGCCTAGATTTTAGGTTATCAAGCGAAGCAGAATTTGATATAATAAGTGTATTTATCATATACGAATATCTACAGTCGTATACTATTATTATAGTTCAGTTCAGTTCTTTATTTGCTCACCTGACCCGAAGGGCCAAGTGAGCTTATGGCATGGTGCGGCGTCCGTCCGTCGTCCGTCCGTCGTCAACTTTTTACTTTAAACAACTTCTTCTCAGTAACGAAAAGGCCTAGGGTGATGATATTTGGCCAGAAGCATGCTTGGATGAAGGGCTACCAAGTTTGTTCAAATAAATGACCTTCATCAATTTTCAAGGTCACGGGGGTCAAATATGTTAAAATCTTTAAACAACTTCTAAATAACCAAGAGGCCTAGGATGATGATATTTGGCCAGTAACATGCTGAAATAAAGGGCTACCAAGTTTGTTCAAATAAATGACCTTGCCTTATATTCAAGGTCACAGGGGTCAAATATGTTTAAAAACTTTAACAACTTCTTCTGAATAATCGAGAGGCCTAGGGTAATGATATTTGGCCAGTAACATGCTGGGATGAAGGGCTACCAAGTTTGTTTAAATGAATGATCTTGATTTATATTCAATGTCACAGGGGTCAAATATGTTTAAAACCTTTAAACAACTTCTTCTGAATAACCAAGAGGCCTAGGGTGATTATTTGGCCAGTAACATGCTGGGATGAAGGGCTACTAAGTTTGTTCAAATAAATGACCTTCATCCATTTTCAAGGTCAAAGGGGTCAAATATGTAAAAATCTTTATACAACTTCTTCTGAATAACCAAGAGGCCTAGGATGATGATATTAGGCCAGTAACATGCTGGGATGAAGGGCTACCAAGTTTGTTCAAATAAATGACCTTGACTTAAATTCAAGGTGACAGAGGGCAAATATGTTTAAAACCTTTAAACAACTTCTTCTGAATAGCCAGTAGGCCTATGGTGATGATATTTGGCTAGTAGCATGCTGGGATGAAGGGCTACAAAGTTTGTTCAAATGAATGATCTATATCTATTTTCAAGGTCACAGGGGTCAAATATGTTTAAAATCTTTAAACAACTTCTTCTGAATAACCAAGAGGCCTAGGATAATGCCAGTGACATGCTGGGATGAAGGACTACCAAGATTGTTCAAATGAATGACCTTAACATATATATTCAAGGTCACAAGTGTCAAATATGTTTAAAAAACAATGAATGACTTCTTCTAAATAAGCAAAAGGCCAAGGGTGATGATATTTTGCCATTAACATGCTGGGATGAAGGAATACCAAGTGAATGACCTTCGCCCAAATTCAAGGTCACAGTGGTCAATATATGTTTAAATCTTTAAATGATTTGTTCTGTATAACAACAAAAAAAGCTCAGGGGTAATGATATTTTGCAAGAAGCAAGCTGGATTGGAAGACTATTAACTCTGTTTAACCTAATGTCCTTGTTCGACATTCAAGGTCACAGGCGTCATATGTTTAAATCTTTTAATAGGTTCGTATGAATCAAACACTGATATTCTGCCTGTAGCTGTATTTTAGTCCACTTTTAAGATAACAAGTGTGAGATTAATACCAGGTGAGCGATGCAGGCCCATTGGGCCTCTTGTTACCTTGAACCTTATGGCTCATCAGTTCAAAATAACCATATATACAAGAATAAACAATACAATCACTCACACCCATATCGACACACACCCACAAATACACACTCACATATCCAGTGGTAAAGTGTAAAGAGACAATCCTCTTTATATTGGTACATAGTCTTTTCTTTTCTTATTACTCAGTTAAATATATTTGGCTAAATTTGTTTACTGTTTTTTGTTCACTGTTTCCACAAGTTGGATAAATTTATACATGCTAGGTCTTTCATAGTAATATTTCTTAATAAAACGCTTTCTTAAATCTACAAAACATTCACATTTTAATATAAAATTAAATTCATCTTCGATATCCCCACTGTTGCAGTATGCACATGTTCTATCAATCCTATCTACATTGTTATACCTACCAATTTCAATATCTAATTTGTGAGACGACAGTCTTATTTTGTAATTTCTTTCAGATTTGTATTTCCTATTAATTTGTTAGATATGGTTGTAAGCAGAAATTTTCGCCAATAAACTTGTACAGTGAACACTTAGAAGATGAATCTATTTTTTCTTTACATTCTTGCTTAAATATATCACACATTCTGCTTTTAATCATATTCATAATATAAACGGATGTATAGGTATCTCCATATTGCCATATGCACCCACTCCCATTCTAAATAGTTCGTTTCTTACTCCATTCATCCATTCACTACCATTTTTAGCTCACCTGGCACGAAGTGTTGCCCATGTCCGTCCCGTCCCGATTCAATGTAAACACCCGTCGCGTCGCGTCCCGTCCCTATTCAATGTTCAACTTCATTCTTTGACATATTTTAGTCAAACTTTATACAAAGGTACAACCCTCCCTGTGTTTCATGGATCTAAGGTCAAGGCCAAGGTCACACTTGCTATATATAGAAAATCATCAACTGATTCAATTTAAACACTTAGCAACTTCATTCTTTCACAGAGTTTGGTCAAATTTTGTGCAAAGGTCAAGTATGAGTATACTTCGGACATTGTTGTGTTTCAGGGTTCCAAGGTCAAGGCCAAGGTCACTGTTGCTATATAAAGAAATCATCAACTGATTCAATTTAAACACTTATCAACTTCATTCTTTCACGGATTTTGGTCAAACCACGGAATTAGATTAAGTCCGTGGTCAAACCTTATATAAAGGTCAAATATGGGTATACCTCTGACATCTTTGTGTTTCAGGATGGTAATTATAATAACATACAGAAAAACCATATGAATATTAAAATCAACTTATCAACTTTATAGTGTATTACCTTGTGTGTGTGCATGTTTCAGGGTATCAAGATCAACGTGGTTGTAACTTTTTATAGAATACTGAAACTATAATTTCACATGGCAGCGGGGGCATTTCATAATGTCTTACAGACATTCTCTAGTTTTAATCAGTATTTAAACATTCTAAATTTTACGCAGTCACGCACTTTGTCTCTGATTACTTCGTATCGTTGTTCCATTAAACCCGTTAGAATACGGTTGTATTTTATGTTTCTACACTTTTGGTCTTCTCCACCTCTAGTTTGATTTCTTCACAGTCCTTTCTTAAATTCATCATTTCGTTTTGGATAATGCATTGATTTGTTGAAATGTCTCTGGTTTCTATTACAACACATTGGAGTTCTCCCTGTGTTTTTGATAATGTTGTCTCGTTTTTCTCAGTCTTTCTTTTCATCTGTTCATAGAATTTCCCGCTAGCTTCCGTACTTTTTTCTATGTCAATGTTTTTCTGTACTATATCCTTAACTTGATGTTCCATAGTAATAACCTTTGCATTTAGGGAAGTTAATGCAGCATCTATACGATCAATTTTGTGTATTATAGACATGTAAAGCAGGTGTCAATTTATACTATATATGAGTAAAGAACGACGTTTCTCAATATTATTAAATCTTACAATAATTGATAGTCGCTGTCAGTGTCTACCTAGATGCAACTTTTAATTTCCTGGCATGTGTTCTGTTACAACTGTATAACCCTAACCACAGAGTTAGTTTAATTATTTAAGTCAGTGCCTAAACATAATAACTCTGTCGCGATCGTTTTTTTTTAATACAGTTATTGTTTTCTTTCTTTTAAATGGTGGTTTTCGGGGAGTTGATTGCGATTCGGGTCTGGCCGCCCCAATCGGCTAAACTCGACAGATGCGCAGACAACAGAAGTGCCGAGTGGGTCGACCGGGTGTACCCCACCCACCGGAACTAGTTACATGTAAGCGGAGACAACTCTCGCGATTTGACTGTAGTTTCACTTTAACAACGATCACTATGACGTCGAGTGGAACTGTGCAACGGTTGGACGGGAAGATTGCATTAATTACAGGTAAGTTGATTATTTCAGAGAGCTCTAAGTGAGTGAAGGCATATGGTGCAGGCCTGGATTTTATATTCACTCAACCGAGTATCATGACATCGCTTCATACATGTATTATGTTTAAATACCACCATGACCCACAGCCACAGGGGCTGGACGCACTACATCATTTTCCCATTGTGTGTCAAGCACCTGTGCCATTACCATTGCCATGATAGACCCAGTCAACTTGTGTGAACTGACTTGTTTTTTCGTTGTTTCCTGAGATATCCTTCCAGAGGTAAGTGTTAAGAATCGCAATTGTGAAAAAATTGTATATCAATGAACTAACACAGGCCTCTATCTATAGGCTCTGATCTGAAATTTTATCAGTATTAAAGTTGATAAATATTTGCCTAGACTACAATAAAGATTTCCCCCTCAATCATGATGACAGTGTCCACACAAAAGCTAAGGTCATGCAATGACAATGGCCGCGCAATAGATTAAGTCATATGATGACACCTGACAGTGTCCACACAAAAGACTACGTCATATGACGACAGTGTCCACACAATAGATAAGGTCATTTGAAGACAGTGTCTACACAATAGATAAGGTCATGTGATGACAGTGTCCACACAATAGATAAGGTCATGTGATGACAATGTCCACACAATAGATAAGGTCATGTGATGACAGTGTCCACACAATAAGGTCATGTGATGACAATGTCCACACAATAGCTTAAGTCATATGATGAGAGTGTCCATACAATATCTAAGGTCCTGTGATGACCGTGTCCACACAATAGTTAAGGTGATATGATGACAGTGTCCACACAATGATGACAGTGTCCAAACAATGATGACAGTGTCCACACAATGATTGGTTTGTATAAGTGCCAGTTCTGAGTACTGTGACTAAGCCACACTGATGGGTTTGTATAGGTGCCAGTTCTGAGTACTGTGACTAAACCAAGTTGATGGATTTGTATAGGTGCCAGTTCCGAGTACTGTGTCTAAGCCACATTGATGGGTTTGTATAGGTGCCAGTTCCGAGTACTGTGTCTAAGCCACATTGATGGGTTTGTATAGGTGCCAGTTCTGAGTACTGAGACTAAACCAAGTTGATGGATTTGTATAGGTGCCAGTTCCGAGTACTGTGACTAAGCCACATTGATGGGTTTGTATAGGTGCCAGTTCTGAGTACTGTGACTAAACCTCGTTGATTTGTATAGGTGCCAGTTCTGAGTACTGAGACTAAACCACGTTGATGGGTTTGTATAGGTGCCAGTTCTGAGTACTGTGACTAAACCACGTTGATTTGTATAGGTGCCAGTTCTGAGTAATGTGACTTAGCCACATTGATGGGTTTGTACAGGTGCCAGTTCTGGAATTGGAGCAGGGACTGCTGTACTGTTTGCAGAACTGGGAGCACAGTTAGCTCTGACTGGACGTAATGAGGAAAATCTCCAAACCACTGCAGCCCAGTGTAGGCAGACTGGCGGTAACCAGGTACTGTACCCTCAAAAATACCTCTAATAGTATCTAAATGTCTATCACCCACCCTTCTACAGCCTCCTGGTTGTACCTGTATTTAACTGGTACTATAGAGTTTTGACAAATACGTTGTTTTCCTTCTACAGCCTCCTGGTTGTACCTGTATTTAACTGGTACTAAAGAGTTTTGACAAATACATTGTTTTCCTTCTACAGCCTCCTGGTTGTACCTGTGTTTAACTGGTACTAGAGAGTTTTGACAAATACAGTGTTTTCCTTCCACAGCCTCCTGGTTGTACCTGTATTTAACTGGTACTAAAGAGTTTTTACAAATACATGGTTTTCCTTCCACAGCCTCCTGGTTGTACCTGTATTTAACTGGTACTAGAGAGTTTTGACAAATACATTGTTTTCCTTCCACAGCCTCTCCTGATTGTGGCTGACATGTTGAAAGAGGAGGATGTGGCACGTGTCCTGGATGACACAATAAAACAGTTTGGACAACTAGACATTCTGGTACTGTATCCCTGTTTCTACTTTTAGTCTGCACAAGCAGGACTAGAAATTAATTTTAAAAACCACTAGTTGGGCTAGTAGTTTCAATTTCGCTATGTTCAAATTCTGCTAAGCCAATATTATTCACCATGTTAAGTAATATCAAGGTTTGACAAGTCAATCAGGGTAGCAGTTTATAGAACTATACCACTATTTCACTAGTCCCAGACTATGGGCTACACTTATTGACAACCTCCGACAAGTCTCGTTACTAAACCTTTCAGTACAGTCAAAATATAAATCCTTCCTCTTTATAAGATGAATGGTTTGTTGAATCAAGGTGTTCATTCTTTTAATGCTCTTCTTTGTTCTTGAGTCTGTTATTATTTTGCTTCTCTGGTCCATATCGACTCGTAAGTGGCCCAACTGGTGATGAAGTTGTGTATAAGGTAGCTCAGACAAATATACTGATTATGTAATTATGTGAATTATTGCTGAAGTGATTACCTTAGCATCCCTTACATTGCTGAGTTCATCAGAATGTTATTACAGGTCAACAATGCTGGTATAGTAAAAGGGGGCGGTATTGACAACACGTCGCTGGCCGACTACGATGCTGTGATGAACACAAACGTCAGGTATGGACCTCAGTTATCGTGTAGGTTTTATCAGTAACTATATCGTGTTACGCTGAGAATTGTGATGTCAGAATTTAGCCAAAAGACACGATGTCTTAAATTTGTGTCCATTTTATAAGTCTTATATTCTTAATTGAGACTCACAGAAATGAAAACTTCAATGCTCACCTTATGATGTCATATGAAATCAGAACTCGCTCAAGTCTAGTTCCTTCACATGTTGCTCAAAAGAAAATATATCTCATTGACTGCTACTGAATACATGTTTCTTTATAAACCATACATAAGTGTTTTAGTAATAACAATGTAACCATACAAACAATAGAATGACCTGACTTACATAATCTGTTACCTTAGATACATAAGTTTATATTTTCTATGTAACCTTATGTAAAGTAAGGAGAGCAATGAGGCTTTCAACAGTGATTGATGTTTAGTATTCTATAATTGTTGTTAAGTACTTAATCTAATATTGGTGATGATTTACCTGACCTGTCCTATTTCAGAGCACCTTATCAGCTTACGATGTTAGCTGTTCCCTATCTTACCAAGACCAAGGGTACCATTGTGAATGTGTCCAGCGTCAACGGCATGAGATCAGTACGTACCTATCTAACTGTCAACAAAGTCACACCAGTTCTGTTATGAGGGTCGCTTAGTGTTTTATGTGGCTCTTTGTTAATTATTTATTCCAATTTTGCTCGGACATCTTCATAAGGTCATTTGAGGGTTGTGTCCTTACAACAGCTGAAGTCGTATAACTCATATTTCACACAACAGCTCAATTAAAATGACAAAGTGACTGTGTTTAGGCAAATGTGTAATTTTTATGCCGTGCTGCAGCGTCCGTCGTCCGCCGTCTGTCTGTATTGATTGTATTGATCCTATAAATTGTATATCTGTTTACTGTAAAGTGCTTTAGAGTGGCTTATTCTAGCTAGAAATTGCGCTATATGAAATGTTGTATATCATTGTTATTAGGTGACACTGCGTAGATATGTTTTTGATGGCAAGAGGATGTTTTACTTAATCTAAGGTCTGTACCTGAAAAGGTCAAGATCACAGAGGGGCAAAGGTCAAGTCGCATGCTTGTCCAGACTGTAACTTGTGAAGTCCTAAGTGCTCTATAAAATATTGTGACAAGAAAGTGTGTCTTGCAGCACTCCCAGTACCTTCAAGGTCAATGTTATAGCAAAGGACACACTTGCAGCACTCCAAGTACCTTCAAGGTCAAGGTCATAGCAAAAAATATGCACTTGCAGCACTCCCAGTACCTTCAAGGTCAAGGTCATAGCAAAGAATATGCACTTGCAGCACTCCCAGTACCTTCAAGGTCAATGTTATAGCAAAGGACACACTTGCAGCACTCCCAGTACCTTCAAGGTCAAGATCATAGCAAAGAATACACACTTGAAGCACTCCAAGTACCTTCAAGGTCAATATCATAGCAAAGAATACACACTTGAAGCACTCCCAGTACATTCAAGGTCAAGATCATAGCAAAGAAGACACACTTGAAGCACTCCCAGTACATTCAAGGTCAAGATCATAGCAAAGAATACACACTTGAAGCACTCCCAATACCTTCAAGGTCAATGTTATATCAAAGGACACACTTGCAGCACTCCCAGTGCCTTCAAGGTCAAGATCATAGCAAAGAATACACACTTGCAGCACTCCAAGTACCTTCAAGGTCAATGTTATAGCAAAGAATAAGATGATAAATCACTGCAATAATTGTCTGGACAACTCTGAACATTATTTTTTATAAAGCTTCATATATTTTTGTATTATTATCAGATGGTGTCTAAAGAATAATACTCTTAACATTACATGTGGTCTATTTGACTTTGTAGTTCCCGAATGTGCTAGCCTACTGCATGTCAAAGAGTGCCATAGATCAGTTCACGCGCTGTACAGCTCTGGGTATGTCTTTCTACTCTTACCAAACAAACAATGCTTTTAATAGGAACTTAAAATGTCATTTAGCTAATAAAAGTCTACTTAATATATGTCCTGTATGTCTATTGTATACAAGAGAGAACAATTAAAGGCTTTTAAAATATGAATAATTAATATCTTTCAAAGTGGTCACATGTGATGAGTATGTTTTCAGATATGTTGTAATGATGTAGGGAACAGTGAGAGATGTGCAAATGTACCAGACATCATGTGTTGATCAGTAAGGAACAGTGAGAGATGTGAAGATGTACCAGACATCATGTGTTGATCAGTAAGGAACAGTGAGAGATGTGAAGATGTACCAGACATCATGTGTTGATCAGTAAGGAACAGTGAGAGATGTGAAGATGTACCAGACATCATGTGTTGATCAGTAAGGAACAGTGAGAGATGTGAAGATGTACCAGACATCATGTGTTGATCAGTAAGGAACAGTGAGAGATGTGAAGATGTACCAGACATCATGTGTTGATCAGTAAGGAACAGTGAGAGATGTGAAGATGTACCAGACATCATGTGTTGATCAGTAAGGAACAGTGAGAGATGTGAAGATGTACCAGACATCATGTGTTGATCAGTAAGGAACAGTGAGAGATGTGAAGATGTACCAGACATCATGTGTTGATCAGTAAGGAACAGTGAGAGATGTGAAGATGTACCAGACAGCATGTGTTGATCAGTAAGGAACAGTGAGAGATGTGAAGATGTACCAGACAGCATGTGTTGATCAGTAAGGAACAGTGAGAGATGTGAAGATGTACCAGACAGCATGTGTTGATCAGTAAGGAACAGTGAGAGATGTGAAGATGTACCAGACAGCATGTGTTGATCAGTATGGAACAGTGAGAGATGTAAAGATGTACCAGACAGCATGTGTTGATCAGTAAGGAACAGTAAAAGATGTGAAGATGTACCAGACATCATGTGTTAATCAGTAAGGAACAGTGAGAGATGTGAAGATGTACCAGACATATGTATTGATCAGTAAGGAACAGTGAGAGATGTGAAGATGTACCAGACATCATGTGTTGATCAGTAAGGAACATTGAGAGATGTGAAGATGTACCAGACATCATGTGCTGATCAGTAAGGAACATTGAGAGATGTGAAGATGTACCAGAAATCATGTGTTAAATTGATCAATGTGCTCAGGGGAATCTTTTATGATGTAATCAGCCATTTTATTTTTAATCAAGCAGATGAACTGTAATAGACATTTGGAGTTGCTGGGCGTTGGTTCTGGGGGAATGTTCCCTGCTGGGCGTTGGTTCTTGGGCAATGTTCCCTGCTGGACATTGATTCTGGGGGAATGTTCCCTGCTGGACGTTGGTTCTGGGGGAATGTTCCCTGCTGGATGTTGTTTCTGGGGGAATGTTCCCTGCTGGGTGTTGCTTCTGGGGGAATGTTCCCTGCTGGATGTTGGTTCTTGGGGAATGTTCCCTGCTGGGCGTTGGTTCTGGGGGAATGTTCCCTGCTGGATGTTGGTTCTGGGGGAATGTTCCCTGCTGGACGTTGGTTCTGAGGGAATGTTCCCTGCTGGACATTGGTTCTGGGGGAATGTTCCCTGCTGGATGTTGGTTCTGGGGGAATGTTCCCTGCTGGATGTTCGTTTTGGGGGAATGTTCCCTGCTGGGTGTTAGTTCTTGGGGAATGTTCCCTGCTGGATGTTGGTTCTCGGGGAATGTTCCCTGCTGGATGTTGGTTCTGGAGGAATGTTCCCTGCTGGACATTGGTTCTAGGGGAATGTTCCCTGCTGGGTGTTGGTTCTGGGGGAATGTTCCCTGCTGGGCGTTGGTTCTGGGGGAATGTTCCCTGCTGGGCGTTGGTTCTGGGGGAATGTTCCCTGCTGGGCGTTGGTTCTGGGGGAATGTTCCCTGCTGGGCGTTGGTTCTGGGGGAATGTTCCCTGCTGGGCGTTGGTTCTGGGGGAATGTTCCCTGCTGGGCGTTGGTTCTGGGGGAATGTTCCCTCCTGGACGTTGGTTCTGGGGGAATGTTCCCTGCTGGGCGTTGGTTCTGGGGGAATGTTCCCTGCTGGACGTTGCTTCTGGGGGAATGTTCCCTGCTGGATGTTGGTTCTGGGGGAATGTTCCCTGCTGGATGTTGATTCTGGGGAAATGTTCCCTGCTTGGTGTTGGTTCTGGGGAAATGTTCCCTTCTGATATTTATTATTCATGCTTTTACCTGGTTAACTTGTTTCATTCTTTACAGAACTAGCTTCTAAAGGAATCCGAGTAAACAGTGTCAAGTAAGTGTTTTATGCAAACTCTGTTAGTCTTAATTAGTTAAGATTAATGTTTAATAAAAGTGTTTAATATTTGATTTTCAATGCTGTATTGATTTTAATACAACCCATTAGACAACACAAAATGTCGGTTTTGTTTCTTATTGACAAAAAACTGTTTAGACACGAAGACAACACTGGTGGTTACACTGTACTTGTTTGCTCATGTGTCTGTTCTGATTGCAGCCCCGGAGTAATTTTAACAGAAATCCACAAACGAGGTGGGAAGACGGAGGAGGAGTACAAGAAGGTACTGGCCTTACTGCTTATCATCTTATATATACAAACAACAGACTAAACAAAGGTGCTGCTCTAGGCGGTAATGTTTAATACAAGTAGTGATGTATAAGTTCAAATGTGATTTGTAGTTTTTAGCTCACCTGCCCAATGGGCAGCTGAGCTTATGCCATGGAGCGTCGTCCGGCTGGCGTCTGGCCGGCGTCCGTCAACTTTCCTTTAAACGACTTCTTCTGAAGAACCAGAAGGCATAGAGTCATGATATTTGGCTTGTAGCTTCCTTATATGGAGCCCGACAAAGTTTGCGAAAAAAACAGAATTTGACCTACTTTCAAGGTCACAGGGGTCAAATATGTAAAAACCTTCAAACAACTTCTTCTGAAATACCGAAAGGTTAAGAGACATGACAATTGGTAGGTACCTTCCATGGAATAAGTCAAACAAAGTTTGCAAATAAAAATGACCTTGACCTACTTTCAAGGTCACAGGGGTGAAATATGTCAAAGTTTTCAATCAACTTATCTTCTGAAATACAGAAAAGCCTAGAGATATGAGAATTACCTTGGTAAAAGCCAAACAAAGTTTGCGAATAAAAATAACATTGGCCTACTTTAAAGGTCATAGCTAGAAGTCAAATATCTCAAAACCTTCAAACGACTTCTTCTGAAATACTGAAATGCCTAGTAACATTGTATTTAACTGTTGGCTTCCTTGGAATTAGCCAAACAAAGTTTGCGAATAAAAGTGACCTTGACCGACTTTCAAGGTCACAGGGATCAAATGTGTTAAAATCTTTAAACATTTTTTTTCTCAATAACGAACAGACATAGGGTGAAGATATATGGCCAATAGCATGCTGGGATAAAGGGGTACCAAGTTTGTTCATATGAATGACCTTGACCTACTTTCAAGGTCACAGGGGTCAAATATGTCAAAACTTTCAAACGACTTCTTCTGAAGAACTAAAAGGTATAGAACCTTCATATTTGGCTGATGGCTTCCTGAGATAGAGCCCGAGAAAGTTTGAGAATGAAAATAACCTTGACATACTTTCAAGGTCACAGGTGTCAAATATGTCAAAAACATCAAACGGCTTCTTCTGAATAATCGAAAGGCATATAAAATTATAAAATTTGGCTGGTGGTTTCCTGGGATAGAGCTCACCAAAGATTGCAAATGAAACGACCTCAGCCTACTATAAAAGTCACAGAGGTTAACAACATTTCAAACAATTTGTTCTGGAGAACTAAAAGGAATGGATTCATAAGATTTGGCTGGTAACTTTTAGGGATAGACCTAACCAAGTTTGAAAAGGAAAATGACATTGACCTACTTCCAAGGTCACAGGGAAAAATATGTCAAACAACTTCTGAAGAAAAATCAAAAAGCTTAGAATCTTATAATATTATTTGGCTGGTAGTTTCAATAGATGGAGCTGACAAAGTTTGCGAGGGAAATATTCGTAGTGCAATATAATATTTAATGAGAATATTTTGCTATGACTGCTTAAATTTTCAGGTGAGCAATACAGGTCCTCTGGGCCTCTTGTTATTGACTGAAAAACAAATTAAGAGACTATGATTATTTGCAGACAACATGCACAGGCTGTTAAGTATACGTTTGCGGATTCTTGTAATACTATTTTATTAGTTTAATAAGATACAAATAAATGTCATTATTATTTGTTATATTTGGACAGTTTCTGGAGCATTCTAAGACAACACATGCTTTAGGCCGTGTCGGGGAAGTACAGGAGGTTGCCAGAACAATCGCATTTCTCGCCTCAGACAGTTCCTCCTTCATCACTGGTGCCCAAATACCTATTGATGGAGGACGTCATGCCATGTGTCCACGCTAGAGCCTGCTATGGGCTGGAATGTTTACAGTGCTAATCTCTATTTACTATGGGCTCGAATGTTTACAGTGCTAATCTCTATTTACTATGGGCTGGGATGTTTACAGTGCTAATTAGGGCCCCGTATCAGAGATACGGGTGCCCTATATATATAGTAATCACTGTCTGTCTGTCTGTCTGTCTGTCTGTCCATCCACAAATTTTGTTCCAGGCTGATAACTTTGGTATTTAATGACCGATGTACATGAAACTTGGTCAAGATGTTCAGTTCACAAAAATACACATTAAGGTCAAAAGTCAAGGTCAAAGGTCAAGGTCATTAGGTTCAAAGGTCAAGGTCAAATTTTACATCTTTTCACTGATGAACATTTTGTTATGACATTATGAAGCAAAGTTGATCAGAATAAAACAAGGAGTCAACTGACCAAAGATCAAGGTAATCGGGTCTAGGGTCAAGGTCAAATTTGTAGTTTTTCACTGGTGAACATTTTGCTATGACATTATGAAGCAAAGTTGTTCGGAATTGAACAAAGAGACATGCTGAGGTAAAAAGTCGAGGTCAAAGGTCAAGGTCAAGGTCATTATATTCAAAGGTCAAGGTCAAATTTTGCATCTTTTCACTGATGAACATTTTGTTATGACATGAAGCAAAATTAATCAGAAATAAACAAGGAGTCAACTGACCAAAGGTCAAGGTCATTGGGTCAAAGGTCAAGGTTAAATTTTGTATCTTTTCACTGGTGAACATTTCGCTATGACACTTTGAAGCAATGTTGCTCAGAAATAAAACAAATCAAAGCTAACAAATGCATCAATATTTACATTTCTGTTAGCCCAGCAAATATGGAGGTGGAAGGAAACAAGACTCACATCATAGTACATGTAACATGAGTCCAAACGTCAAGCTCAGCTATATAGGCAGATTGCTTCTTGATGATTATGGGGGATATATTGCCACAAGACGGGGCCCTTACTGACCTGTCAGTGTTTTAGTCTCTATTTACTATGGGCTGGAATGTTTACAGTGCTAATCTCTATTTACTATGGGCTGGGATGTTTACAGTGCTAATCTCTATTTACTATGGGCTGGGATGTTTACAGTGCTAATCTCTATTTACTATGGGCTGGGATGTTTACAGTGCTAATCTCTATTTACTATGGGCTGGGATGTTTACAGTGCTAATCTCTATTTACTATGGGCTGGGATGTTTACAGTGCTAATCTCTATTTACTATGGGCTGGGATGTTTACAGTGCTAATCTCTATTTACTATGGGCTGGGATGTTTACAGTGCTAATCTCTATTTACTATGGGCTGGGATGTTTACAGTGCTAATCTCTATTTACTATGGGCTGGGATGTTTACAGTGCTAATCTCTATTTACTATGGGCTGGGATGTTTACAGTGCTAATCTCTATTTACTATGGGCTGGGATGTTTACAGTGCTAATCTCTATTTACTATGCATTTATTGATGTTACCTAGTATATATAACCAGTAGACCTGTCATCATCTCTTTTTCCATGCAGCTCAAAACCTTTGTTAAATTGTTATACGTTACACGTGGCTACTCTTACTCAAGTTTGAGGGTGTGATAAATAAAACATTACGGGTAACAGTGAATTCACAGGCCATGGAGGACACATGCTCATGTTGTTTAAGCTCACCTGGCTGAAAGATATTTCTCAGAACTTCATTCAGTCATAGAAATCATGTCATGTAAATGAAGGTGGTGTAACCCCTGGGACCAATGCAGGGATCCCTTGTTAACTCATTCAACCCTGAAATGTCATAGTGAACTATTCCAATCTTGGAATTGGAAGAGTTCAAATGTGTCTTCAGGGGTGGATGAGTTAATGAAAAGTGTGCATGTGCTAGGATGACAAGCCCTGTCTGGTTATTGTGTACAATCTGGAGAACAAACCAACCACCATTGGACTAGATAAAAGTTATTTTAATGGTCTCTTTGTTTAGTAAGGATTTAAAACCTGTTAGTAAAAACAGATCTTCTGCAGAGTCCTCAATCAGTTACGTGTGATGTTTAGGATTCAACCTTTCTTTTTTGTCATTTGTAAAAATATTTCATAGAATGTATAATACTACAGTTATAATGAAATCTATACACAACTTTATTTTACATCAACATGAATCTGTACTTGCATGGCAATGCCAGCAAAAAACCTTACCAGATTCAAGTGGCATTCTGATAATTTTTATCGGCCATAAATGTCTTTGTTGGTATGAAGTCATAATTAATGGTAACATTCTAGTTGGTTGTACAATTTATAGAAAAAGAGTATACATGTTACATACTACATATATGATATGATACCCCCGCAATGAAGTGGTGGGGGGGATACTGGAATCACCCTGTCTGTCATTATGCATCCAGGTGTTACTTTTTTTCTGACTCTTATTTTATGGAGTTTTAGCCATTTGTTGAAAAATCCTTGTCCAGACAACTTTATCAGCCTTTAGCTTACAGTTCTAGTTTATATGGGAGTGGGGGTTTAAGTTAGCCTTTGGTTTACAGTTCTAGTTTATATGGGAGGGGGGGTTTAAGTTAGCCTTTGGTTTACCGTTCTGGTTTATATGGGAGTGGGGGTTTAAGCTAGCCTTTGGTTTACAGTTCTAGTTTATATTGGAGTGGGGGTTTAAGTTAGTCTTTGGTTTACAGTTCTAGTTTATATGGGAGGGGGGATTTAGTTTGCCTTTGGTTTACAGTTCTTGTTTATATGGGAGTTGAGGTTTAAGTTAGCCTTTGGTTTACAGTTCTAGTTTATATGGGAGTGGGGGGTTTAAGTTTGTCTTTGGTTTACAGTTCTAGTTTATATGGGAGTGGGGGTTTAAGTTAGCCTTTGGTTACAGTTCTAGTTTTGAAATAAACTCTGAATTTCCATTAATGTGATTGTGAGATTGAATTATATCTGATAGGGTAAATTTAAGGGAACTGATAATATTGAAGTGCTTACATATAAATGTACTGTGTATTTGGTATGCATTAATTTGAGATTATTTAATGTTTATACAGTATCACATTTGTATAAATTATTGGTTATGCAGATAAATTTTGAGAAGCAAACCTGTGTTACTGTTTTGTGATTGTAAAGTAAAGTAAAGCAAACATTCGTTTTCACAAAAGATGGCATTTGTTTGTAAAGAGAAAATATACACATTTGTTTGGACAAGGAGAGCACACATATTTGTTGTGACAAGAAAAGCATTCATATTTTTTGGAACAAAAAATAAAACACATTTTTTTGTTTCGACAAGGACATAATTTATATTTTTGTAGACAAGGAAAGCACACACTTTAGTTTGGACAAGGAAAGCATACTGACATGTTTGGACAAGGGAAGCATACTGACTTGTTTGGACAAGGGAAGCATACTGACTTGTTTGGACGAGGGAAGCATACTGACTTGTTTGGACAAGGGAAGCATACTGACTTGTTTGGACAAGGAAAGCATACTTATTTGTTTGGACAAGGAAAGCATACTGACTTGTTTGGACAAGAAAAACGTGCATATTTATTTTGAGAAACACACACATTGGTTTTGACAAGGGAAGCAATTTAACTTATTTGTTTGGGCAAGGAAAGCTTTTATATTTGTTTTGACAAGGGAGCACACTCAGTTGTTTGGATGAGGGAAGTTTACAAATTTGTTTGAAAAAGGAAAGCATTCATATTTTTTGGACAAGAAACATACTTATTTGTTTGGACAAGGAAAGCATTTGTATTTGTTTTGACATTAAGGGAGCACACACATTTGTTTGGACAAGGAAAGTACACACATAAGTTTGGATAAGGGAAGCTTCCTTATTTGTTGAACAAGGAAAGAATACACATGTGTTTGGACAAGAAAAGCATTCATACATGTTTGGACAAGGAAAACATTTCTATTTTTTTTTGGACAAGTAAAGCAGACACTTGTTTGGACAAGGAAAGCAGACACTTGTTTGGACATGGAAAGCAGACACTTGTTTGGACAAGGAAAGCATGCATATTAGTTTTGACAAGGGAAGCACACACATTTGTTTGGAAAAATCTATATGCTTCCCTGACATAACATTGAAAATGAATGACCTTATGTAAACACTATCTCTATATGGTAGATTTAGGACCACATCAGTTAATTATTCATCTGTTTATTTCCTTGGAGAAAGCAATCTGTTAACCAATGAAATAAGTAATCACCTACAAAATCACAGAGAGAGGGAGAGAGAGAGAGAGAGAGAGAGAGAGAGAGAGATATTTTTGAGTCGCATAATTATCTTTTATGATAGATTTTAATGCTGACACAGATAAAGTTTGCTGTAAAAATCTTCCTCTATATATTTTTATCATTGTGCATGCCTAAAATGAAAGTTTCTTTATTAAAAGTAAATGGAATCAATAGAGCATCTAATAAAAATTCAAAGTTCTCAAAAAATGTCTGCACTTCTCTGCACTCCCAAAATAAATGTATAATTGTTTCTATTTCTGTTTTACAAAAGAAACAGAGTGGACTATCAGTTAAACCAATTTTGAATAAATATGAATTTGTTGTTAATATGTGTTGGTTTATTCTGTATTGCAGCCAATGTAATTTGGAGCTTTTAGTAACTCGGAAAGGGGTTGCATATATACTTCTCCAAGTTTCTTCATCTATTTCAAATATGTTGTTCCACTTTCTTTTTCCGGTAGGAATAGTGTTATTTCGACAAAGTATATTGTAGAAATCTTTCGACCCTTTACTGTTTCTCATGAAAATTTCTAAATTAGT